TGTTGATGACAGTATCAATTTGTTATTACATTTGCGTATTAATCTATTATTGGAGATGACATTTGTTTTTTAAATTATAAATTTTCTTATTATATCTTCCAGATTGTTAGTTACATTAAATTTTTCTTACTTTTTAATTCTTGTTTGATGATTTGTATTTGAGTCTTGTTTGAGGATTTATATTTGCTGAGTCTTGTTTGATGATTTATATTTGTTGAGTCTTGTTTGATGATTTATACTTGTTGAGTCTTGTTTGATGATTCCCGTTGCTTTCCCTGCAGAGGCAGATGCAGTAACAGCTTATATAAAGTGGAAGGGAATCTGACAGCTGGGGAGGGCAGTTGTGTTACACATCTGATTGTTTATGGCAGGGCTATTCAACTGGTGGCTCACGGGCCAAATCTGGCTCGCGGAGGCCTAGCAAGTGGCCCGCGGATCATTGCCAGTTGTACTGTATTAATTATTTTTCTATGTTGGGTCTCCGGCCTCTGGCCTGTGGCGATCCCCATTTGTAAAATGTTAGCATCTGGGTACACATAGTTGAATAGCCCTGGTGTCTGGGGTAGTCAGTAAATGCATGCTGAGTCACATAGTTGAATAGCCCTGGTGTCTGGGGTAGTCAGTGAATGCATGCTGAGTCACATAGTTGAATAGCCCTGGTGTCTGGGGTAGTCAGTGAATGCATGCTGAGTCACATAGTTGAATAGCCCTGGTGTCTGGGGTAGTCAGTGAATGCATGCTGAGTCACATAGTTGAATAGCCCTGGTGTCTGGGGTAGTCAGTGAATGCATGCTGAGTCACATAGTTGAATAGCCCTGGTGTCTGGGGTAGTCAGTGAATGCATGCTGAGTCACATAGTGACCAGTGATTGACAAAACACCTGCCAGTCAACAGATTTGAACAAGGAATAAGACACAAACAGTATATGGTGAAATGTTTTGCCTGGCATAGTTCAGTGGAGCAGATTGTTGTGTGTGGTTGTTCTGGAGCACAGGGAATGTGAGAACACTGAACTGGTTTGAGCGGAACCTGCAGCCTATGAGTCTAGTGTGCATACTCTGTCTAGAGTTCACACTGAACTTGTGAGTCTAGTAGACTTACTCTGTCTAGAGTTCATAGTCAACCTGTGAGTCTAGTGTGCATACTCTGTCTAGAGTTCACACTGAACTTGTGAGTCTAGTAGACTTACTCTGTCTAGAGTTCATAGTCAACCTGTGAGTCTAGTGTGCATACTCTGTCTAGAGTTCATAGTCGACCTGTGAGTCTAGTAGACATACTCTGTCTAGAGTTCACACTGAACTTGTGAGTCTAGTAGACATACTCTGTCTAGAGTTCATAGTCAACCTGTTAGTCTAGTGTGCATACTCTATCTAGAGTTCACACTGAACTTGTGAGTCTAGTAGACATACTCTATCTAGAGTTCACACTGAACTTGTGAGTCTAGTAGACATACTCTGTCTAGAGTTCATACTCAGCCTGTGAGTTTAGTAGACATTGTCTGTCTAGAGTTCAGACTGAACCTGCAGCCTATGAGTCTTAGAGTGCTTACTCTGTCTGTAGTTCACACATTGAACTTGTGAGTCTAGTAGACATTTAGTTCATACTCAACTTGTCATTTTAGTAGACATATTCTGTCTAGAGTTCAGACTGAACCTGTAGCCAGGTCTTCAAGTTATGTAGAGTGGGTTGGGGCCGGCTTGTGTGAGAAATCCTGATCTGCCACTTACCTTGCTGCCAACCTTGATGATTGATGAATGTGGGGATGGGGGTGGTCTGACAGAAGTTTCCTGTAGTCTGCTGTATTGTGTAACAGTGTACCGCTTACCTTGGTATTTAGTAATCCACCTTTTACCAGGTGGGGTGGGTCATTCACTCCCTCATCCCCTTTCCATCATAAAAAAATCAAAATAATACCAGAAAATTCTCAAACTTTGCTCATATCCATTTTTATGAGACTAAATAATGCTCTGTCTGAAGTACCATTGTTGTGACAGTAAAAGTTCTTCCTATAGGGTTTACATGTTCTAGGATGTGGATCACACTGAAGGATCCTCTAGGGTTTACATGTTCTCCGATGTGGATCACACTGAAGGATCCTGTAGGGTTTACATGTTCTCCGATGTGGATCACACTGAAGGATCCTGTAGGGTTTACATGTTCTCCGATGTGGATCACACTGAAGGATCCTCTAGGGTTTACATGTTCTAGGATGTGGATCACACTGAAGGATCCTCTAGGGTTTACATGTTCTCCGATGTGGATCACACTGAAGGATCCTCTAGGGTTTACATGTTCTAGGATGTGGATCACACTGAAGGATCCTCTAGGGTTTACATGTTCTAGGATGTGGATCACACTGAAGGATCCTCTAGGGTTTACATGTTCTAGGATGTGGATCACACTGAAGGAGCATCTAATGTATATTCTTTTTTGTTGGCAGGAGGGATAATTTAATGTACACTCTTTGTGGTCATAGTTTTTCATGGAGGGTTCACATATTCTGGTATGTGGATCACTTGAAGTCCAATTTTAGTTGTCCTCGTAGCCGAGGTTTCAGTTTAACTGCAGTCGGGTCACACCATGCATGTGTGGCGGTGGGAAGTGGCTGCCATTTAGAAAAATTAACAGTTAACTCGACCAACAAACTTATATTTTCTGTTTAACTATAACAAGAGGATATCTAAAATCAGTGACCTAAAGACTTGTCAGAAAACAAAGGCTGGAAATCCCAGTTATAAATTCAGAGAAAGGGAGGTAACATGTCAGTAAACAAAGGCACCTATACATAATGCTGGGGTTCTTTTGAAAGTGTAGTGTATGAAACTCAGGGGCCATTCCTAGTTACATTTGCATGATTGGCGGGAAAGACACAGGTTACAGAGGAGAAAGCAGAAGAGAATTAGGGCAAAAGGCCAAGATTGACTATGCTTTGAGGTGGGATATATTGCGCACAAGCTTCATATATTTCATATATAGTTGGAGCAGATGGACAGGAGGAGACTTGCTCTGAGACCGCAGCCAAGGAAGGTATCCTGTGGGTGAATAAACTCGTCTGGTGATGCTGTGGATACTGCGGAACTGAGTCCATTGTTCCATAATGGACGAACTGAGAAGCCCTGTTAGAGAATTGATGAAACCTTGAATGTCTTGTGACATGACAGCGAAGGTCATGACTTACTGGGTTGGCCATTGATTAGGCGGTATCTAGATTGTAATTGGCAGTGTGGCTAATTAGCAGTAGTGTGTTGGTAATTTGTAGTGGCATTTACTGGCAGTTGTTAGGCTGATACGTTGTATGTTAGCATTGATGTCTAAGTACTGACTAACAGCAGGGAAGGAGATTCTAGGAGTTACTTGATAGGTTATCTTTGAGTAGATTCTGCTATCAGTTGTAATGAATGGTAGGCTGTTGTAATATGTGAGTTTTTATAGTGTGAGTAGTGACTAGGCTTACTCTGGTTATAACTTGTTATAGCATTTTGTGTATTGTGTTGAGTTTTGAGATGAGCTTGTTTGTGTAATGAGAGATATATGACTGTTGTAATTCTTCTGCGAGAATAAACAGGATTTGAACAAAGAAGACACTAACCATTTATTGAACAATTTATTGCCTGGCATATTTTGCTGTATCTCGTCAGGAACATACTACAGAAATAATTATATAAATGAAGCAAATAAGTGAATCCTTTATAAATGAAGTACAATTTCAACAAGGATGAAAACATAACTGCCTGTTTTTACCAGGGCAGCCATAAAGACAGAACCATCTCTTTCTATAAACAGTGTTCCGGGCGCAGATGACGAATCGCGGAAGCTTCGAGAAATCTTTGCTTCATTTATGTGTCTTCTTTGTTCACATTTCAACAGGGAAACATTGCTTTGATAAACAGGATTGTTAGCTGTTATTTTTTACTCCAAAGTTATCCCCATGTGGATTCCGGGACCCCGTTGTGGGGGGGGGGGGCAACAAGAATAGACCCACTGCCTGCCCAAAAGCATGGCATAAAAGTCGACTAATTGGACGCTTTCTTTGAAGTTGGAGTACATATGCCTGAGAGGCAAGAAGCCAACAGTTTGCATGCAAATGAGTCAAACCTGTAAAATGGATGTGCACACACAACACACAGTTTCTTGGACAGGGCTAGAATCCAGAAGTAGATAAAAAACCAGAAATTTCTGCTGGAGTTTACAGCTGGTGAACGTAAAGAAGAAGAATCCATAGTTAGTTTGTTAAGTATAGGTGTAGTATGACTGTTGGTTGGTGTAGTCTTTATACTACATTGCTGTACTGATTCTACATAATACTCTTTAAAACCTCCACTAACTATTATCTGATCATCTGGGGTGTAGACTTATTACTACACTCTCCACACAGAACTTCTCATCTTCTTATACATCCTTTAACTGTTATTTGTCTAGACTGTTTCTCTACTTTTTGTGTCCTCTTTTCTCTTTATCCCTCCCTTTAAATGTAAACCCCACCCAGTTACACTTGCTGCATTCAGGTGCCAGTGAATGAAATGTTCCTCAATGTCCCATTTGAAGAACTTGGGAACAAACAGTTAGTCCCGGCACAGTCCAGAAATATATGCATGCAATAAATGCATATGGCAGTTGCTAGAGGTGCCAAATCCAATAGTCACCACCAGAAATGGAGTTAGTCATTGATAGAAGTAATTGGACGCAATAAGTTGGCTACACACACGTAAAATGATTACACAAGATGTTTCACCAGCATATAAGTAAGCGAGCTACTGACCATATTGAATACCACAATTCAGTCACTGCACAAATGAAAGGTATTCCACAGGAAAAACACAGATCACAGTGCTGCAATAAGTACTAAACTCGGTAGCTCTAGCCGCGAAACCGTAGACGACAGTCCATGTGTGGGAACTGCATTAGCAAAATGCTGCTGGAAGAAACTTTAACTTTGAAGCGAAACATTCTGCCATGCTGAGTCCTCCGTCATCTAATGTTTTATTGTGTTTGGTTGGCAGGGAGGTGTGGGCAACAACTCCTACCACGAGCTGAGTCAGCGGCTGGGGCTTGAGGGCAACATCTCCGAGGCAGCCATGCAGCAGAAGCTGGAGGAATTCAAGGAGTACCTCAAGAAGGAGATTAGGAAGGAGATGAAGATCAAAGTAAGTGTGGTATTCATCTGTTGTCTTGTCTCATGTACACTTCTCACCACCTCTCACTGATCAGTATTACCCAGCTATGTCCCCGTGTAGTTCAGTGATATGATGTCTCTATCGATTAGTTAATTCTTTGGTTCCCAGTTAAATAAGACCTGCTGACCTATTTCTATCGCTAATGTCCCACAGACCCCAAATGTTTTTAATAGTCATTAAAAATAATATATATTAGTCTGATGAAACAGAACACTTAAATTTGAACCTCTCAGGGTCCAGAGACCACCATTAGGGAGCTAATAAGTCATTTGATGGGTGGACAGCTGGATGATACGGCTTGTGTATAGATTAGATAACTGTTGATATAATCTCTTCATGTCTGTGTAGAGAGAATTACTTCATATCCATGTAGACAGAATTAATGTGTGTCTGTGTAGAGAGAATTACTTCATATCTGTGCAGGCAAAATTAATGTGTCTCTGTGTAGAGAGAATTACTTCATATCTGTGCAGACAGAATTAATGTGTGTCTGTGTAGACAGAATTAATGTGTGTCTGTATAGAGAGAATTACTTCATATCCATGTAGACAGAATTAATATGTGTCTGTGTAGAGAGAATTACTTCATAACTGTGCAGACAGAATTAATGTGTGTCTGTGTAGAGAGAATTACTTCATATCTGTGTAGACAGAATTAATGTGCGTCTGTGTAGAGAGAATTTCTTCATATCTGTGTAGGCAGAATTAATATGTGTCTGTGTAGAGAGAATTTCTTCATATCCATGTAGACAGAATTAATATGTGTCTGTGTAGAGAGAATTACTTCATATCTGTGCAGACAGAATTAATGTGTGTCTGTGAAGAGAGAATTACTGCATATCCATGTAGACATAATTACTTCTTTTCTGTGTAGAGAGAATTACTTCATATCTGTGTGGACAGAATTACTTCATGTCTGTGTGGACAGAATTACTTCATGTCTGTGTGGACAGAATTAATTCATGTCTGTGTGGACAGAATTACTTCATGTCCATGTAGACAGAAAGACTTAATGTCTGTGTAGGGAGAATTACTTCATGTCCATGTAGACAGAATTACTTGATGTCTGTATAGACAAGAATACTTCATGTCCATGTAGACAATTACTTGATGTCTGTATAGATAAGATTACTTCATGTCCATGTAGACAGAATTACTTGATGTCTGTATAGACAAGATTACTTCATGTCCATGTAGACAGAATTACTTGATGTCTGTATAGACAAGATTACTTTATGTCCATGTAGACAGAATGACCTCATGTCTGTGTAGAGAGAATTACTTCATGTCCATGTAGACAGAATTACTTAATTTCTGTGTAGAAAGAATTACTTCATGTCCATGTAGACAGAATTACTTCATTTCTGTGTAGAGAGAATTACTTCATGTCCATGTAGACAGAATTACTTCATTTCTGTGTAGAGAGAATTACTTCATGTCCGTATAGACAGAATTACTTCATTTCTGTGTAGAGAGAATTACTTCATGTCCGTGTAGACAGAATTACTTCATTTCTGTGTAGAGAGAATTACTTCATATCTGTATAGACATAATTACTTCATTTCTGTGTAGAGAGAATTACTTCATGTCCGTGTAGACAGGATTATTGTGTGTCTGTGTAGAGAGAATTACTTCATATCTGTGTAGACAGGATTATTGTGTGTCTGTGTAGAGAGAATTACTTCATATCTGTGTAGACAGAATTATTGTGTGTCTGTGTAGAGAGAATTACTTCATGTCCGTGTAGACAGTATTACTTTATGTCTGTGTAGAGAGAATTACTTCATGTCCGTGTAGATAGAATTACTTTATGTCTGTGTAGAGAGAATTACTTCATGTCTGTGTAGACAGGATTACTTCTTGTACATCTAGCCCGAATGACTCCACGTTTAAATAGACAGAATTACTTCTTGTCCATATAGATTGAATGACTTCACGTCCATGTATACAGAATTACTTCTGGTCCATGTAGACAGAATTACTCCACGTCCATATAGTCAGAATTACTTATTGTCCATGTAGACAGAATTGCTTTTTTTTCTGTGTAGACAGAATTACTTCTTGTCCATGTAGATTGAATGACTCCACGTCCATGTAGACAGAATGACTTCTGGTCCATGTAGACAGAATGACTCCACGTCCATGTAGACAGAATGACTTCTGGTCCATGTAGACAGAATGACTGTTTACAAAAGTTCAATGATCTGTTGGCAGGAAGGAGCCGAGAAACTACGGGAGGCATCAACAGACAAGAAAGCCTTACAGAATGTCAGCAGCATCGTCAAGAAGGCCAACACCAAACTGCAGGAGCTTCACCAGGAGCTGCAGGAACTCAACGCTTACCTCTTGGTCACCAACACTGGGGTACTGGACGTCAACACCGGTCACCATGGTCAGTACACGGGGCTGGCCGGCTTCTGCTCATCATCATCATCCGTCATTATCGTCCTGCACATCTTCTTTGAAATGTTTGTACTCCCTCTGTGGTGTCGATGTTAATGTGATTTTCACATTCTTTTCTCCACATGTTGGTTCCAGATCTCCATTGTGGGGAAAACAAGAATAGACCCACTGCCTACCCAAAAAAAGAATGTTGTAAGAGTGACCAATTGAGAAAATCCTTCATAGTCAGAGTGCATCTGCACGAACGGCAAGGAACAACCAGCTGCACACAAATAAGCCAGTAAAATGGATGCTCACGCAAAACTCCAGCCGTGGCTGAATGCAAAAATCAAAATGAACAAACAACCAGGACTTTCAGCCGGAGCTTACAGCCAGTGAACAAAGAAGAAGAAGCAGAAGTCATTTTTTTTTTCCTGTTACAAACCTTAGGCATTCCTTTCTCAAGGAATTTATCACAACTCACTTTTTCTCTCATCTCTCAAAAAGTCTTATCAAAACCCATTTTTCTCATCTTTCAGAAAGACTTATCAAAACCTATTTTTTTCTCTCATCTCTCAGACTTGTCAAAACTCATGTGTCTCTTATCTCTCAAAAAGAATTGTCAGCAACTCCATCTGTTTCATCTCTCAGAGACACTAATCAAAAATCACTTATTTCTCTCATCTCTCAAACAGACTTACCAAACAGAGCTTATCTGTTTCTCTGAATCTCTCAAAAAAGACTTATCAAAACCCATTTTTTTCTCTCATCTCTCAAACAGACTTGTCAAAACTCGTGTGTCTCTTATCTCTCAAAAATAATTGTCAGCAACTCCATCTGTTTCATCTCTCAGAGACACTAATCAAAAATCACTTATTTCTCTCATCTCTCAAACAGACTTACCAAACAGATCTTATCTGTTTCTCTGAATCTCTCAAAAAAGACTTATTTCTCTCAGTTCCTGGAGACATTAATCAAAACACTGCTTTCTCTCAGAGACACTAATAAAAAGCCACTTAATTCTCTCATCTCTCAGAGACACTAATAAAAAGCCACTTAATTCTCTCATCTCTCAGAGACACTAATAAAAAGCCACTTAATTCTCTCATCTCTCAGAGACACTAATAAAAAGCCACTTAATTCTCTCATCTCTCAGAGGCACTAATAAGAAGCCACTTAATTCTCTCATCTCTCGAAAAGGCTTGTCAACCAAATTATTCTTGGTATTATCTCTCAGAGAGAGATCTTGCAAAAACCACCAAACCTCCTGTGTTCAAACTTAGGCAGCTGCAGTTTGTGTTGTGTACTCTCTTCCACAGACAGGGGGATCAAATCCCTAGAGAAAGGCAACGGTGAGGGAGTGGAGGGGAGCTCTATCAACCCTCGCCTCAAGTCTTTGCAGAAACAGATGGATATAGAGTTAAAGGTGAGGTCTGTTATCTGAGAGCTTGGAGTCTATGACATCTGTGTCATTTGTTTAGGTTCTTGACATTATGGTCTGGGATCTGTTACATGGCAGTTTAGGATCTGTAAAATGTTGGTTTGGGATCTGTAGCATGGCAGTTTAGGATCTGTAAAATGTTGGTTTGGGATCTGTAGCATGGCAGTTTAGGATCTGTAAAATGTTGGTTTGGGATCTGTAGCATGGCAGTTTAGGATCTGTATGTTGCATGGGAGTACAGGATCTGCAGTATTTGGGTGGATTGACATTAGAGTCTGTGTAACAGTACATCAGTATCACTTGTCAGTATCACATTACAGTTGTGTCATCTAAGGGGTCTGCATGGTCTCAAGGCATGGTGTCCGCCTCGAGTGCTAGAGGTTCCAGATTCAATCCCCGGTAAGGGCTGAGATTCTGTCACGTGGACTTGGACTTTTAGTAATTCCTACTGGTCTCTAGGTAGTGAAGTTGGACGCCCGTGTGCATTTTTGCGTACGTAAAAAAAAATCACTTAGTAGTTGGAATCGAAAAGAGTAGCCTAATGGCACTGCCCGGGCAAAATTTTGAGTAAAAGATTTACCCAAAGTATTTCAGAATCCTCGCCGGTGCTACGTAGCCTGTGCACTGTACTGAGCTTCTTCAGACTCAAATTTGAGTTAGAAGAAGATCGGAGCACTTATGTGCCATGATGTTGATCCGTTGTTTAAAACCATAAACCTCAGTTGGGTCATCCCAGATTTGTATATATGTAACATAGGAGGTTTATCTGTGCAACATTATGTTTGTATTGGTAAACTCTGAGAGTTCTGTGTGACGTAAGATTTTTACCTGTGTAACATTACAGTTTGGAATATGCAGCAGTAAATTGCATCTATTGCAACAGAGTTTATTTGTGGCGGTCAAGTTTAAGCTCTGTAACATTATGGTAAATAAATTGTGTGCTGTCTCCACAATAAAGGTTTACTACAGTGTTACCACTGTTGTCTGTGGTGAGATCCCAGATACTTCCCCAGTGCAGTTCTCTTAGCATTGACCAGAAACCATAAGCATTTTTTGTTAACCATCCGCCATAGGGAATGAACCTTATTTTCAAGGATCATGAAATTGTTAGCCACGTTCACTAATCTCTAAGCCACGAAGCCACTTTGTAATATTAGTGTCTCGTATTAAGGATGTGTAAATGAAACAGTCTGTGAATGATGTGTCTCTTGAACTTACTTTGGTACGGCACTAGAATGATCAGACGTGCTTGACTGTTGGTACCAGGTGAAGAACGGGGCCGAGAACATGATCACCATGTACAACACGGGCTCGTCCAGGGACAAGAAGATGTTGGCCGAGGCCCAGCAGATGTTGAGTGATGCCAAGACTAAAATTGAGATCATCCGCATGCAGATGCTCAAGGCCAGCCAGGAGATAGGGGACGTCAACTCTAAAGATGGTAAGTACTGCAGCTATTTGATAGGTTGGTTGGTTGGTTGGTTGACTTGTTGGTTGGTTGGTTGGGTGTCTGACTGGCCACCTTTCTCATCGGCCAGCTGCCAATTGGCTAGCACACAGATTATCAGTTGATTGTTGCTTCATGCCGTCATATGTGTACATTTCAGGCTGGCCTCTCATCATGTATGTTAGCCTCATAATTTCTATATCTCTGTGTCCATACAGTGTCTGGAGAGATCATGTCTCCTCCATCTCATCATGTATGTTAGCCTCATCATTTCTGTATCTCTGTGTCCATACAGTGTCTGGTATTCCGGTGCCCTATTGTGGTGGAAACAGAACAGACCCACTGCCTTTTTAAAAGCATGTAGTAGAAGTCGACTAATTAGGGGTTTCCTATTCGAAGTTAGAGTGCATCTGCCTGAGAGGCAAGAAACTAACAGTCTGCATACAAATAAGCCAGATCTGAAAAATGGCTGTGCATGCAAAACTCAAGTTCTAGAACAAGGCTAGAGTCCTGAGGTGGACGAACAAGCAGATCTTTCCGCTGGAGTTTAAAGCTAAGGAATTCGAAAGAAGAAAATAGAAAAACATCACAGCGCCAATTGTATGCCTTGTGGCATATGATGCTTAGGCCAAGAGTTGTAAAACAATTGACACAATAGGGTCAGTATTACAGAATGAGTATTACAGCAGTATTACAACTAATTGTGGTCACTTCCCTGAGAAAAAACACAGCAGTAAAGGTATTGTCTGTTTTTAGATTTATTGGCTGTACATTTTGGGGAAGCCTCCTTGGATGGCGGTAAATGCTTCTGTTCTGCCTTGCCTTCTCTCGAGGAGTGACCAGCATTACGTGACTGCTCCGGACCGGCCTGAAAGGGGCACCACCTATGAACTGGGAGACAATGATCACCACAAAACAATGATCCTGCAATATTCCACGAAACTTACCGGGAAGGCTAACATGGACAAGTGCCTTCAGAAGTCGGATATATCAGCCATGTTATAAACAGGCACATTTACCTCTTTGGATAAATGAAAGAAGAAGCAGCAGATTTGTTATAGTGGAGATTGCAGGAGATAAGCAACAATGACATGTTTGTTCACCTATTGTGCACTTGTAATTCAGGTCAAACCAGTGAGATATTGTCCCCTCTGGAGCTGAGAATTGAGGAACTCAAACATCATCTGAAGATCGAGTCTGCTGTTGCTGATGGAGCCAAGAATGTCATCAGAACTTTGCAGAATTCCAAATCTGAAGACAAGAAGGCATTAAAAGAGGTTTGTCTGCAGGGACCTGATTGTTTTCCGGGCCCATGTCTCTGATTATGTCTGGTCAAGTTTTCTGTGGCATCTTCGCTTGTACTGTCTGTGGCTTAGGCATTGCGAACACACACTGTCATTCTGTAATACCCTGTTTATTTCCAGCTGCTGGCTGTTTGACAGCAGGCTCCCTTGCATTGATTTTGGCAGTTGATACCAAGAGTCCACCATTCAGAAGCAGTGGCAAATTTCTAAGCATAAAATTGCCTAGTAAAACCAAACAAGCAAAACAAAAATGCTGGTGATGGTTTTTCTACACCCTGTAAAGGATACACAACTAACTTTGTGAAAGCTGTGCTAATAAGCTAATGTGTATATGAGGGAGGCTGTTAGTGAGGAGAAATGTGGTACAGTACATACGTTAGGAGGATAGAGGCGTGAGCCATCCTATAGTTGAGTTATGGAGAGATTTGTGTACATTTACCACAGTTGTATGTTTCAGGAAATAATCTTTGTTCATTTTCTTCAGGTAGTTGATGTCAGTCAGTTTTTAAAACAAGTCTCTCTTCGTATCCTTCTTTCTCCATGTCTTTCTCTCCCTCCCTTCCAGCTGCTTCCATCCCTTTATTCCTAGTTTTTGAACTAGCTTGTTATTTTAACGTCGGCTCTGTGGCTAAGTCGATGTGAACGCTTTGTAATGCCAAGATGCCGGGTTCGATCCCAGCTGCGGGCCACGTGTCTTGCATTGGTTTTGACAGTGGTATCAAGAACGCCGACCATTCAGCAAGCAGTGGCAAACCACTGGACGTAAATTTGCCTAGAAAAACCACACAACAGTCAGGGGCTGTTGGGGTTGGTTCTGCAACGTCCTGTAAAGGTTACACAACAATCTTCCTGTTATTTTAACACTGTTATAATAAGCTAACCATCTAATTTGTTGTTGTTGTCCATCTCAGTTTTGACCACCTCTCATAAAGTTATTGCTTATTATCTGGTCTCACCTCTGTCTCCTTTTTAACCATGCCTCTTTATTATGCAGACGGTCTCCCAGTAAAACATCTGTTTCTAAAGTGGACCGTCTGGTGTAGGGGCTAGGCACTAGCCTGCTGATCTGAAGGTCGTGGGTTCTAATCTAAATGGAGCCTGACTAGTTTTTAAAATGATCTTGGCCCCCGTGTCAACCTAGCCTTGAGTGGGTACTAGGTAAAGTTCTGAGAAGTAAAGGCAGTTGGTGTGATGCTGACCACATCACCCACCAAGTGCCAATTGTCTATAAAATATAGGTCTTGCCATATATGCATGGAGAAGAGGTCCTGTACTGCCTGCCACTGACTATCTTTGATGTGCCTAATGTCATTTGTCTTTCATCTTATTACACACAGGCACAGACTAGGCTGGGAGACTCCAGTATGAAGCAAGAACTGATCCGGATGGCTCTGGAGGCCCGACTCAATGAGCTGGACCCCCAGTCAAACAAGGCCAAACTTCTGAAATCTGAGATGGAAGATTTGTTGAGTCCCAACTTCAACACCTCCTCCAGGCTCTCCTCCTTCAACCAGAGAAGCAAACACACATCCTTCTTTAACAAGCCAGCTGCCCTGACAGGAAAACTGGAGGTCAGGTATGTGCCAGCAGCTACTCATGGTGTTTGGTCCATCCCTCTAGGAGCAGGTCCTGTTCTGTGCAGTTTTATTGTTTTATGTTGAAAGCCTGCATGTCAGCTACATATATCATGTAGATTTTCTGTTCCGTGGCCCCATAGAGGGGAAAACAAGAATAGACCCACTGCCTTCCCAACAAGCATGTCGTAGGAGTTGACTAAATGGGAGCCTCATTTGAATTCGGAGTGCATCTGCCTGAGTGGCAAGTAACAACAAACTGCACGCAAATTAGCCAGTATAATTGATGTACACGCAAAACTCAGGCCCTGGCACGAAGCCAAAGTGTAGTTGGACAAACAACCAGAGCTTATAGCCGATGAACAAAGAAGAAGAAGAAGAAGGCTTAGGCACAGCAGCAAGCTTATCATAGTTGTCAGGAGGATACTACAGTCTGAGATGTGACATCTGAGAAGATTTCTGGACACAGGGGATGAGGAAGACCATCAGCATCAAGTGCCTGGCCGACTGGTGTGGGTGATCATGCCTCTCCACAACCTGTGATCTCCAGCTGCATGCATCAGCTGATGTGTTGCCTGTTTATCGTTTATACAACGGATCAACATCATGGCACACGGGTGTAACCCCATAAGTGCTCTGTTCTACTTCTAACTCAAGCCTGAGTCTGAAGAATCTCAGCGCAGTGTACAAACTCTGTTGTGCCAGTGAGGATCCTGAAATACTTTGAGTAGATTATTAATTCCAAATTTTGCCTGGGCAGCGCCATAAGGCTACTCTTTTCGATTTCCATCTGCCAAGGTTTTTTTTTAAACGTGCGCAGAAATACACACGGTCGTCCGGTCTTACTACCCAGAGACCAGGTGAAATTACTAGAAGTCCACGGGAATAAATCCCAGCCTTCACATGAGTCTGAACCCAAGACCTCCAGCACTTGAGGCAAATGTCATACCTCGTGATGTGCTGACACCCCTGGGACAAAAGGCTCTAAAGAATCTTCCCATGCTGTCTTCTTCCATCTCTCCACAATTTTTGTCTACTGCCCACAGCTTGTTTCAGTTTTTCTCTGCTCATATCGTGACTAAAAAATGATGTCTCTTTCTGATGTTTGTGATAAGTTGTCTTTGGGCATCAGAACATCAAGGTTACTCTCTTTGATTGTCCAAGGCAATTTTAAGCAGTCTTTCGTGAAACACTTCTCTGAGATCTCCATAAAATGTTTATCTCATTGTCCAGGATTCACAGAATCCAAAGATCTTAGGAAGACATCATATGAAAATGCTTCATAGTCTTTGTCATTGCATGGACGGGTGTTATCACATAAATTGATTCATACTGTAGAACAGTGATTCCCAAACTGTGCACACTGGCGCCCCGTGGAAACCACAACCTCTTCATAGGGGCGCTGCGAAATATTGTAAAAGCTTCATAATTAATTTAACCAAGACACAAATAGTCATACTTTTACTTAGATTAGGACAAAGTGGAGAAATTTTAATTGAAAAAAAAAAAGCGTGGCGACCATGAAAAGTTTAGGAAACTGCTATAGAAGATTGCAAAGTGTAGAGAAACATAACAGCTGTGCCAGTAAAAGACAAATGATGATGCATGGTACCAAAGGGGCAGAATAGAACTACTGTTTTCATGTTAAAACCACCATCCTGTAATTGTTTGACATGTGAGACTGTTGCTGTTGCAGGTTGGTTGGTGTCCAGGATCTGCTGGAAGAGATCCCCACCCGACGGAAAGACAGCCTGCAGCTGCTCATGTCCAGCCCCGGAGAGAGCAGGAGTCTCCTGCGAAGAGGCAGCAGCAAAATGTATAACATCAAGGATGAGATCTCAAGTAAGAACTATCAGTGTGTGGTGTGAGAATTATCAGTGTGTGTTGACCTCATGTCTAGTGATCAGAGATTGTTGTTTGCTCTCAGAGATGGTTGTGTGAATTAATGTGCCTAGATATGGATGTGTTCACAAAAGTGGGCTGTTTATGTCTCTGGATATGTTCCCAGAAGTGGGCTGTTTATGTCACAGGATATGTACACCGAAGCGGACTGTTTATGTTTATATGTATGTTACCAGAAGTGGACTGTTATGAGATATGTTCGCAGATGCGAACTCACAGAAGAGGGCTGTTTATGTTACGAGATATGTTCACAAATGCGAGCTATTTAAGTAGTTTGAGTAAAGAGTGCACATGATCATATTGACCATTACTGGATGCAATGTATATAGTTTGTATATATATTGAATGCATATATTCAGTTAATATGTAGATCACACATGTCAGGTGGGTAATATAGAAGGGACATAATGTTCAGACGTTTGCATTCTTTGACAATGTTTGCTTTGTCTTTTCCTCACTCTTGCCACTTCATTTCAGCTCAGTCCTCTTCTCTGCTTCTTTTTGTCTTTATCTAAACATGCCTGTCCCCCAGTCTCTTCCCACTGTGTCATTGACTTCCTCTCTCATCATCTAGCTCTTTCTCCTACCTCTCTATGTTGTGAGTGATGAAGACAAGTTGTAGAATAGATTTTTTACAGTTAAAGCATGTCTTGTATTGTCTAAATTAGACAGGAGAAAGTCAATGAAATATTTTGTCTTGTCTAACTTAGAAAGTTAGATGGTGTACTGTTTTCTTTTGCAAGGAACTGATGGCAGGTTAGGTACAGACTCAGTGTTTCCCCGATTGAGAGCAGTCCCCCCTAGAGAAACAATAGTTAGTGAGTATTCTTAATTTCTGGTGGGGTTGAGGTTTGCTAATGTCAGGATTCCATTTCCTGACAGCCAGTATGGTTACAGCGTCAGGCCAAGCCAGTCTCATATAGTTAGTTGGGAGCTGACAAAGGATCTAGTCTTTATTCTTTGATGGGAGTAGTGTCCTAATAGGTGTCAACATATTTTCTTTTTTCGTAATCTAGTTCATGGGACAGCTTACACTTCATAGGCGGCCAGCACCGTGTCCACCACTGCTTTGGATTTTGTAAACATATCCCCATTTTGGTTCAGTGATGTTGAGGGTCATGGTTTGGTCAAATCCAGGGTCATGGTTTAGTCACATCTAGGGTTAAGGTTTGATGAAATCCAAGATCATGGTTTGGCCAAGTCCAGGGTCAAGGTATGGCCAAGTCCAGAGTCATGGTTTGGCCAAGTCCAGGGTCGTGGTTTGGCCAAGTCCAGGGTCATGGTTTGGCCAAGTTCAGGGTCATGGTTTGGCCAAGTGCAGAGTCGTGGTTTGGCCAAGTCCAGGATCATGGTTTAGTCAAGTCCAGGGTTAGGATTAAGTCAGGTCCAGGGTCAGGGTTTGGTCAAATTTAATGTTAGGATTAGGTCAGTTCCAGGGTTAGGATTAAGTCTAGTCGAGAGTCATGGTTTGATCAAGTCCAGGGTTAGGATTAGGTCAAGTCAGATTCATAAGTTTGGATCACATAATACAATGTCAGTGATAGTCTGAGGAAGAAGACAGTCATTCCTGTGAATATATACCCAACCTGCCATACAGTGGTCAATTCTATGTGCTTTATTGTTGACCACTGGTCATCTGATGGCAGCGTTCTCTTGTTTCTCTCTGGCAGATGACGTCATGTGCTCTCTGAAGCTAGACAACCAACAGGTGGTGCAGACCTCATGGAAACCTTGCAGTCAGCAGTGCTGGGATCACCGCTCTTCCATCGACCTTGACAGGGTAGGTTTGTTCTCTTCTTGACCTAGTGTGTCTGGGAGTGTGAGCCACTGACCTATCTTCTTGACCTTGTGTGTCTGGGAGTGTGAGCCACTGACTTATCTTCTTGACCTAGTGTGTCTGGGAGTGTGAGCCACTGACCTTTCTTCTTGACCTTCTTTACCTGGGAGTGCGAGCCACTGACCTTTCTTCTTGACCTTGTTATGTCTGGGAGTGTGAGCCACTGACCTTTCTTCTTGACCTTGTTTACCTGGGAGTGTGAGCCACTGACCTTTGTTCTTGACCTTGTGTGTCTGGGAGTGTGAGCCACTGACTTTTCTTCTTGACCTTGTGTGACTGGGAGTGCGAGCCACTGACCTTTGTTCTTGACCTAGTGTGTCTGGAAGGTATAGTGCTTCTTGAGATCTGCTGTTGGTGATCTTGTCCTAGCTGGATCTCCCTTGGGGCTGTTGAAAGGATGACAAGTTAGTTTTTGCCCCCTTCACTTGTTGGTCTGGAGTAGAAAGCAGTCATGGCTCTCCCTCCAGCCTTTTGTTATTTTCTGAAATGTTGAAGTTGGTTTATTATTTGTTACCCATTTGTAAGCTGATTGACTAAATCACCCATGCTTTCATTAAGTCATGTTATGATTGGCTAAATTACCTGCCTGCATTTGTTTTGTCATTTTATCATTGTCTGAATCTTCCTTGTGTTTATTAAGTCACCTTATGATTAGTTAAATCATCCATCTGATTGTTTTGTGTCATCTTGTCATTGGCTAAATTGTCTTATCTGTTATCAAATTATGATTGGCTAATCACCCATATTTATTTTGCCATCTTGTGATTGGCTGAATCATCAATATGTTTATATTTTGCCATCTTATGATTGGCTGAATCATCAGTTTGTTTATATTTTGTCATCTTGTGATTGGCTGAATCATCAATTTGTTTATATTTTGTCATCTTGTGATTGGCTAAATCATCAATTTGTTTATATTTTGTCATCTTGTGATTGGCTGAATCATCAATATGTTTATATTTTGTCATCTTTTTGGCTGAATCATCAGTTTGTTTATATTTTGTCATCTTGTGATTGGCTGAATCATCAATTTGTTTATATTTTGTCAACTTTTTGGCTGAATCATCAATTTGTTTATATTTTGTCATCTTTTTGGGTGAATCATCAGTTTGTTTATATTTTGTCATCTTGTGATCGGCTGAATCATCAATTTGTTTATATTTTGCCATCTTGTGATTGGCTGAATCATCAATTTGTTTATATTTTGTCATCTTGTGATTGGCTGAATTATCATTTTGTTTATATTTTGTCATCTTATTGGCTGAATCAGTCCAGGGAGCTGGAGGTGGCTGTGTACTGGCGAGACTGGAGACAGATGTGTGCAGTCAAGTTCCTGCGATTGGAAGATTTCTTGGACAACCAGCGCCATGGCATCACCCTGCACCTGGAGCCCCAGGGCATCTTATTCTGTGAGGTATGGCTTCGGCGGCTGTCAGCCTCTTCATAGCTCATCTGACCTCCATATTCATTTGTGTTTTCTAAGAAATTATATTTTTAACAAGAAAGATCCACTGCAGTCTATCTTATTCATGATATCCAGCATCCATTGATAGTTTTAACTCTTTCAGTCCCAATGAACACATCATACATTCATAGGTTTCTAACCTAGAAGCCCAGTGAGCGCAGGATGCACTGTTCTAACCTCTGCTTTTCTTATCCTTTGGGCCTCTGATGCTGAAACCCCTGGGATTCAAAGAGTTAGTAATAATATCTCATCTTACAAGGATAGTTCTAGTGATATAATCTCATCTTACATAGATGGTTCTAGTGATATCATCTCATCTTACATAGATAGTTCTAGCAGTATCATCTCATCTTACATAGATAGTTCTAATGATATCATCTCATCTTGAATAGATAGTTTCTAGTGATATCATCTCATCCTACATAAATAGTTCTAGTGATATCATCTCATCTTACATAGATAGTTCTAGTGATATCTCATCTTACATAGATAATTCTAGTGATATCATCTCATCTTACATAGATAGTTGTAGTGATATCTCATCTTACATAGATAGTTCTAGTGATATCTCATATTACATAGATAGTTCTAGTTATATCATCTCATTTTACATTGTTAGTTCTAGTGATATCATCTCATCTTACATAGATAGTTCTAGTGATATCTTATTTTACATTGATAGTTTTAGTGATATTATCTCATCTTGCATTGATAGTTCTAGTGATATCTCATCTTACATTTCACTTAAAACAACAAATTTTTAATTAGCACTTGTAGAGATACAACACTTGCAGATATACAACACCTGTAGAGATGCAGTACTTGTAGCAATACAGAACTTGTGGAGATACATACAACAGTTGTGAAGATACAACTCTTGTAGCGATACATCACTTGAAGCGATACAACACTTGTTGCGATACAACACTGGCAGAGATACATCACATGTGGAGATGCAGCACTTGTGGAGATACATCACTTGTGGAGATGCAGCACTTCTAGAGATACATCACTTGTGGAGATACATCACTTGTGGAGATACATCACTTGTGGAGATGCAGCACTTGTGGAGATACATACAACAGTTGATGAGATACAGTACTTGTGGAGATACAGTACTTGTAGAGATACTACACTGGCAGAGATACATCACTTGTAGAGATGCAGCACTTGTGGAGATATAACACTTGTAGAGATGCAGCACTTGTAGAGATGCAGCACTTGTGGAGATACAACACTTGTAGAGATGCACCACTTGTGGAGATGCAGCACTTGTGGAGATGCAGCACTTGTGGAGATACAGTACTTGTAGAGATACTACACTGGCAGAGATACATCACTTGTAGAGATGCAGCACTTGTGGAGATGCAGCACTTGTGGAGATGCAGCACTTGTGGAGATGCAGCACTTGTGGAGATACATCACTTGTGGAGATACAACACTTGTGGAGATACAACACTTGTGGAGATACATCACTTGTGGAGATACATCACTTGTGGAGATACAACACTTGTGGAGATACAACACTTGTGGAGATACATCACTTGTGGAGATACAACACTTGTGGAGATACATCACTTGTGGAGATACAACACTTGTGGAGATACAACACTTGTGGAGATACAACACTTGTAGAGATACAGTACTTGTAGAGATACTACACTGGCAGAGATACATCACTGGCAGAGATGCAGCACTTGTGGAGATGCAGCACTTGTGGAGATACAACACTTGTGGAGATACATCACTTGTGGAGATACAACACTTGTGGAGATACAACACTTGTGGAGATACAACACTTGTGGAGATACATCACTTGTGGAGATACAACACTTATGGAGATACAACACTTGTGGAGATACAACACTTGTGGAGATACAACACTTGTAGAGATGCAGCACTTGTAGAGATACATCACTTGTGGAGATGCAGCACTTGTGGAGATGCAGCACTTGTAGAGATACATCACTTGTGGAGATGCAGCACTTGTGGAGATGCAGCACTTGTAGAGATACATCACTTGTGGAGATGCAGCACTTGTGGAGATGCAGCACTTGTGGAGATGCAACACTTGTAGAGATGCAGCACTTGTGGAGATGCAACACTTGTAGAGATACATCACTTGTGGAGATACAGCACTTGTAGAGATGCAACACTTGTAGAGATGCAGCACTTGTAGAGATACAGCACTTGTAGAGATGCAGCACTTGTAGAGATACAGCACTGTGGAGATGCAGCACTTGTGGAGATATAACACTTGAACACATTCTTGTATTTTCAGATCACGTTCCTCAACCCGACCTTGTCTAGGAAGCCCAAGCTGCAGAGACAGAGAAAGATATTCCCCAAACACAAAGGTCAGTGCTGTGCTCAGCTCATACATCTCATGTTGTGGTTGTTGTTGTGGTAGTGGTTGTTGTTGTTGTTGTTGTGGCAGTCATGTTCAGATGTTCACTCTTGATTTAAGTAATGATTGGGTCTATCCCAGAAGTATGTAGGGTTGCAAGTTATAGAGAACTAGCTGCTGTGTCCAAAATGTCAGCAACTTTTAAGTTGACAGGATTATTGTGCAGTTTATTTTCTTCTCTAGTGAAAGCTTATTGTTTGATTGCTTCAACTTACAGGTAAAAATTTCCTGCGGCCAAATGAGATGAATATTAATGTTGCCACATGGGGTCGTCTCATGAAGAGAGCACTGCCGCCAATCAGCTCTGAGGGGAATGAACCGGCTAACAGGGACTCCCAAGTGATGTCTCCAGGTAAAAATGCATCATCATCATCATCATCATGTAGCAGGTCCTTTGCAGAACGTCACTCATGGTCTGTCCGAAAGAAACTCGATCTTTCACCAGCTCTTCCACCTCATATTCTTCTACTGCTTTCATCCGAAGATGTAACTGCGTTGTGTCCGTTTACAGCATGGCTGCGGGCATTTGTTGACCGGTTAGCCTTCCCGGTTCCACCTCATATTCAAGGAGTCACTTATATCCTTATACATCTTCATGTTGGCCTGCCCCTCCTTCCTAGTACCATGCCTTCTGCTATTATTTTTTCTAATCCGCTATGGTGCTTTAAATGCCGAAAATATTAGCTTCTAAGACAAGATGCTGTTTATTAGCCAATCTTCCTTGGTGTTCATTTGTTTTAAAATTTCAGTGTTTCTTTTTTTCTTTTTCCATGGTATCATGAGAAACTTTCTATAGTATTTCAGCTCCAAAGCACCTATTTTCTTTCTGTCGGATAGGGAGATAGTCCACAGCTCATCCTTATATTGCGACGGAAGATGCATGCTCTCAAAATTTTAATTTAGATTTCCTTGCTGGTCCTTAAATTTAGACTTTTAATACTGTTTAAACTTTTCGTGGACCAATTGTCACCATTATTAAGACATCCAAACATAACTATGAGTGCAGAGGGACAGATTATCAACAACTTATTCATTGCAACATTAGGCCATATCAGTGACAGACACTAAAGCCAGTGTACACTTGCAAGATGAGATGCCTGAGAAAAGCCGCCAGCTTAACAATCTGAGGTTGAGTGAATAAGATACTATCAAGACAGATTGTGGGAGCAACACCTTGTACTAGATTCATTGAGAAACTGCAGATCAAGTGGTTTGGCTATCTCGTTAGAATGCAGCACAATCAAATATCATTACAAGCACTGCATCTCAGAAGATCAGCTACAAGAGCAAGAGGATGGTCATGAAAAATATGGATCAACAACGTTAAAGGCACTCTACGCCTTTACAGCATGACAACAGCCAGTGACAGCCAGCGTACACTGGATTGCAAATTATTCCTCCCCACAACGTTTAATGGCAGAAGTGGTTTATGATGATGACTTATTAATGCGATGGTACGGTAGTTGGAGCATAGTCACATACAGGTGTAATTAAAAGGTGTTGCACTATTGCATGAAATAGTCAAGGTGCAACTGTGGATATTGATGTTAATTTGAATTCACCTGTGCATCTTCTTCTTTGATCCTTTTGTCAGAAAACTTATATTAGAAGGCACCTTGATGAAAGGGATTGTGCAGTCCATATCTCATATACCACACAGCTTTATTTTCATTGATGCCTGCACAGGGATTTCTTCTCTTTGGTAGCATACAGTTGACAGTGACAGTACATGCTCAGCATTTTCTGCTGCCAAATTGCAGGGACATGTCTCCACGTTTCTTCTTTCCAGTTTCATTTCTCACTTCTAACGCTTCTGAACCTCCTGATTCCTGACAGAAGGATTCCTCCACCTGCACTCCTATGTTATCTCCATTAGAGGTAGTTTCTAAGTAAAGGGAACTCAAATAGGTGGAGGTATACGTAAGATCCATAGAGAATTTGGACTTTTGAAGTAATAGTTATGACACAGAAGTTGGACATTTGAAGTAAAAGTTATGACATAGAAGTTGGACATTTGAAGTAATAGTTATGACACAGAAGTTAGACAGCTGGAGGTATTTGTAGAGAAGTTGTACATTTGAAGTGATAGTTATTGCCATGCAGAAATCAAGTTTACAAGTTTTTACAGCCAAAGAATAGTTGAGTTTTAGACATCACAGTCAAGAAATCCCGCATAAATAAACTTAAAATATTCTATAATTGTGCCACTGAAAGTACTAAAGTTTGGCAATACACATCTCACATGACACATGGCTGGAGATTCACTGAAGTAACCGGTGGTAAGTTGTAACCGTGAGTCGTTTCTTGTTGTTGTTGCAGGAATCCTGTCCCAGGACCGAGGCCCGCCTGTTTCACAGCTGAACTTTGAACCTCCCGAGCTTGCTAAGAAAGCTCGAGAAGCGGACAACAGAAAAGAAGACTCGGAAAATGACAGAAGGGTTGATTTACCAACTGCAATGCCTGCCCCACTCCACCACTCCCACTCGTACTCATCCCATAGGCACTCACCACAGACAAATGAGAGGGAGGACGTTCAGGTGGGTCATGGGGATTAACTCATGTATGAGGAATTGTGTGGATTAATGTCAGTGATTAGAAAGGACTATCATCACAGCACTCCAGATAGATCCATAGGTGCTCCGATCTCCTCCTCAAAAGCTCAACAAGTGTAAAACGACTGATGTCGCCTGTTCTGTGTTGGTTAGTGAAGCGTCTTGTCCCCTTAGTGAAATATTCATTTTTTTGTCCATCAGTCTAGACAAGAGTTACTGAGTCATGTCCTTTGGCGTGCTCCTCGGTACGGTAAGAGCAGCGCATGGCATGGATAACATATTAATGTCAGTGGATAGGTCGAATTTTTATAGTCAGTGGTGGATTTGATTAGATTCTAGTCACTGGTGGAGTTAAGTGGATTATAGTCAGTTTTGAGTTCATCTGGGTAAAGGTTCAGTATCACAGCATTCAGGACAAGCTAAGTTTAGCTTCGTCTCCCTTCTTAACAGACAACGAGGAGTCTTAATACTGATGGTAGTCGACGTTGTCTGGTTAACTACTTGGTCTTGCCTTAGCACTGATTCTGCAGTGGCACCAGGAACCCACAGACACTCCCCGCTGCATTATTCTTTCCAGGGGCAGGTTGCAGTCAGTATCTTCTATTGACATTTTTACCTCGCCCCTCAGGCGAGATATCACCTGTGCCTTGTACAGTAGCAGTACACACCCAAGTGGGGCCCTTGCTGCCGACCTATCTGCCTGCTCAGTTCCCTACATTGTTGTCAGTGCCAGAGTTGAGTGGATTATAGTTGATGATGAAGTTGAGTGGATTATTATTCAGTGAGTGCATTATAGTTGATGATGAAGTTGAGTGGATTATATTCAGTCATTATATTCAGTGAGTTCATTATAGTTAATGATGGAGTTGAGTGGATTAAAGTGGGTCGGAGGGTTGAGTGGATTAAAGTGGGTCGGAGGGTTGAGTGGATTAAAGTGGTTGGGAGGAGGGTTGAGTGGATTAAATTGGGTGGGAGGGTTGAGTGGATTATAGTTAATGATGAAGTTGAGTGGATTGAAGTGGGTGGGGAGGGGGGGGGGGTTCAGTGGATCATCGTGTCAGATGGAGTTGAATGGATTAAAGTGGGTGGGAGGGTTGAGTGGATTAAAGTGGGTGGGGGGGGGGCGCTCATTGGATCATCGTGTCAGATGGAGTTGAATGGATTAAAGTGGGTGGGAGGGTTGGGGGCATTAAGTTGAGTTGAATAAAGTGGGTGGGAGGGTTGAATGGATCATAGTGTAAGATGGATTTGAATAGATTAAAGTGGGTTGGAAGGTTGAATGGATCATAGTGTATGATGAAGTTGAGAGGATTAAAGTGGGTGGGAAGGTTGAGGATCATAGTGTATGATGGAGTTGAGTGGATTATAGTGGGTAGGAAGGTTGAGGATCATAGTGTATGATGGAGTTTTACTAGTTATAGTCATTTTTGTGTTCAGGGGTTCATTGATTGTGGTTATTGTTGAGAGAGAGAGTTTGTGAGAGAGAGAGAGTGTTCCATGGCTTTAATAATGACTTTGTGAGCGAGTAGATAGGCCTTCAATGATTCTGAAGATGACAAATCATCAGATCACAGTATTCAGGTATGTTGATACTGGTGTGTTCATTCAGGTGTGTTGATACAAGTTTATGCTATGTTTATTCCTCCATACAAGACCAGAAGTATAATCTCTAAGATGTACGGGGCAATTTTAATTCTCCTGGCATTGACAACCAGATAAACACATAAATAGCTTAAGCTCCACAAAAAATATTGACACCCACACAGATACCTGCAGCCATTTGAACCTGAAAGGTTCAAGCTACAGGACTCTCTCACGCATGCACACACAAACCCAGAGAGAGAGAGAGAGAGGGTGGGGTGAGTGAGAGAGATACATGCAGACATTTGAACCTGAGAGGTTCAAGCCACAGGACTCTCTCACGCATGCACACAAACAGAGAGAGGGGGGAGCGAGAGAGATACATGCAGACATTTGAACCTGAGAGGTTCAAGCCACAGGACTCTCTCACGCATGCACACAAACAGAGAGAGGGGGGAGCGAGAGAGATACATGCAGACATTTGAACCTGAGAGGTTCAAGCCACAGCACTCTCTCACGCATGCACACAAACACAAGGAGAGGGGGGGGGGGGGGAAGCGAGAGAGATACATGCAGACATTTCAGTCATAGTAATTTGCCTCCCAGGTTTACCCAGCCTTGAATGGGTACCAGGTGTAGTCCTAGGAAGTAAAGGCGGCTGGCTTGATGCCGACCACATCACCCACTAAGTGTCAAATGGTCTGTAAATTACAGGACGACTAGACCTGTATGTTAAATATGCTGAAATTGCGGGAAAGAGTCTTAATCTTTACTGCCTAATTCATAAATAAAAATAAAACAAGACTTAAGTTTGAAGAAAAGAAAGTATTTATAGCACTATGTGTCAGTCTGAATACAATATGTTGACACCCGTTGTGTTTCCCAGTTGACACACATAAACAATGTACATATTGTATATTTGATTTCAGCAAGCCTTGTCCAATTTTGACTTCTTAGGGGAGGCTACTCCCAACACTTCTTCCATAGACCTGGACAGCTCGGCTGACCAGTCGTTTGAACCACCACCACCTCTGCCTAAGTGTTCACCCCCAGTCCCAGTGGCTCCCTCACCTGCCACTCCAGCGATCATTCCATCAGCGAAAACAGTGTCGGCCCCGCGGGCTGTGGTTCCAGAGCCAGAGTAAGTCTTGGACACGTTTAGCTGATGTTTCACTATATATTTTTGGCTGATGTTTCACTATATATTTTTGGCTGATGTTTCACTATATATTTTTGGCTGATGTTTCACTATATATTTTTGTCTGATGTTTCACTGCACATGTTTGGCTGATGTTTCACTATACATTTTTGGCTGATGTTTCACTGTACATGTTTGGCTGTTGTTTCACTATAAATGTTTGGTTGATGTTTAACTGTACATGTTTGGTTGATGTTTCACTGTACATGTTTGGTTGATGTTTCACTGTACATGTTTGGTTGATGTTTCACTGTACATGTTTGGTTGATGTTTCACTGTACATGATTGGTTGATGTTTCACTGTACATGTTTGGCCGTTGTTTCACTATACATGTTTGGTTGATGTTTCACTGTACATGTTTGGTTGATGTTTCACTGTACATGTTTGGCTGATGTTTCACTGTACATGTTTGGTTGATGTTTCACTGTACATGTTTGGCTGATGTTTCACTGTACATGTTTGGCTGATGTGAAAAATAGGGCGGGGGGGGGGGGGGGGGGGGGGGGGGGGGGGGGGGGGGGTGCCACTGCTCCCTAACAAGCATCTCATAAAAGGTGACTAATTAAGGATTTGCTGGAGTGTTTTGGGTTGAAAGTTGCAAATATCACAACCTAGCTGTAACCCACCACACAACGAACTATGCTAACTGCCCTTTTAAAGGAAGACTCACAAGAAGAAGTTACCACAGGCTATTAGTAAAGTATAGTAGAGCTAAATCAGACACTAGTCTGTATTCCTCTTGTGATGACTTTCTGACTTACGCTTACAGACAACACTTACAGACAACACAACACATACAGACAACACACTTACAGACAACACTTACAGACAACACAACACTTACAGACAACACAACACATACAGACAACACAACACTTACAGACAACACAACACATACAGACAACACACTTACAGACAACACTTACAGACAACACAACACTTACAGACAACACAACATTTACAGACAACACAACACTTACAGACAACACAACACTTACAGACAACACAACACTTACAGACAACACAACACTTACAGACAACACAACACTTACAGACAACACAACACTTACAGACAACACAACACTTACAGACAACACAACACTTACAGACAACACAACACTTACAGACAACACTTACAGACAACACTTACAGACAACACAACACTTACAGACAACACAACACTTACAGACAACACAACACTTACAGACAACACAACATTTACAGACAACACAACACTTACAGACAAGACAACACTTACAGACAACACAACACTCACAGACAACACAACATTTACAGACAACACAACACTTACAGACAACACAACACTTACAGACAACGCAACACTTACAGACAACGCAACACTTAGCAACACTTACAGACAACGCAACACTTACAGACAATGCAACACTTACAGACAACGCAACACTTACAGACTACGCAACACTTACAGACAACACAACACTTACAGACAACGCAACACTTACAGACAACGCAACACTTACAGACAACACAACACTTACAGACAAGTTCTTACAGACAACAATTACAGACAAGTTCTTGTGATAAGCTTGACAGTTTTTCGGAGCTCCCTATTAGTTCCATACAACATTGATACAGTGTTGACTCAGTGGGCAAGTAAGTAAAGTAAAAGGTAAAGGTCCCTTTTCCACATCTTTAGGCATATAGGGCTAGACCTATATTTTTATGGACCAATTGCCACAAGATGGGTGATATGGTCAGCATCATGCCGGCCACCTTTACTTCCCAGGACTGCACCCAGTACCCAGTCAAGCTGTGTCGACCTGGCAGTCAAGGTCATTTTTGAAAAAAAGTCAGGCTCCGCCAGGGAGCAAACCCATGACCTTCCGATCTGCACGTGAGCGTCTAGCCACCAGGTCAAGTCGACTTCCCCAGTGGTTTGGAGGCCGCGTTCTGTAGTTTGCATACACAGCCCACGTAGGCACAGTGGTGAACCACTGTATTGTCTGTCTGTGTGCATTTATATATTGTTGATTGTTCCCTGGTTGTTGCCGTTTGCTTGTCACATTGTTGTGAATGCTATTTTTCTCTCTCTCTGTGTACAGGTTTGTAGGGCACAAGATGAGAATGGATGACTTTAGACCCATCAGTGTACTGGGCCGAGGCCACTTTGGCAAGGTGTGTATGTCTTATTGTTATCCCATGTCATTGCTCTATGTCATGTTTGAGCTTCTTCTGGTTACTGTTACTACATCTCATCTTACTGATTTATGACTGACTCTTGTGATCTCTCTACTGGCCTTGTCTGTCCCTTCCGTGTAAAGGCTATTCCTTTGTGCATATTTGTGGTTGTACATCTGCCTGTTGTCGGGATCAGTCAGGATACTCATTGTAGGTTGTGTTTGTGTGCCCACCAGGTGCTGCTGGCCCAGTTCAAGAAGTCTGGTGATTATTACGCCATCAAAGCTCTGAAGAAAGGGGACATCATTGCCAGGGACGAGGTGGAAAGTTTGATGTCTGAGAAGAGAATCTTTGAGGTCATCAACAACATCAGACATCCATTCTTGGTTAACTTGTTTGCCTGCTTCCAAACTGCTGTAAGTCCCACTTGTTTGTCCTCTTGTAAGTGCCCCACGTGTTCATCCCCTTGTAGGTGTCCCATGTTTATCCCATGGACAACACACATAGCACTACAACCTTCATAGAGGCCTGTGGAGTCTCATCTCAAAACCACTGGCTGGGAGAATGAAAAGAAGTCAAATATGTGTTTGATCTGGGTGTCCTATATGTGTGCCTCATATGTGTTTGATCTGGGTGTCCTATATGTGTGCCAAAAATGTGTTTGATCTGGGTGTCCTATATGTGTGCCCCATGTGTGTTTGATCTGGGTGTCCTATATGTGTGCCCCATATGTGTTTGATCTGGGTGTCCTATATGTGTGCCCCATATGTGTTTGATCTGGGTGTCCTATATGTGTGCCTCATGTGTGTTTGATCTGGGTGTTCTATATGTGTTCCCTGTATGTGTTTGATCTGGGTGTCCTATATGTGTGCCTCATATGTGTTTGATCTGGGTGTCCTATATGTGTGCCTCATATGTGTTTGATCTGGGTGTCCTATATGTGTGCCTCATATGTGTTCGATCTGGATGTCCTATATGTGTGCCTCATATGTGTTTGATCTGGGTGTTCTATATGTGTTCCCTGTATGTGTTTGATCTGGGTGTCCTATATGTGTGCCTCATATGTGTTTGATCTGGGTGTCCTATATGTGTGCCTCATATGTGTTTGATCTGGGTGTCCTATATGTGTGCCTCATATGTGTTTGATCTGGGTGTCCTATATGTGTGCCTCATATGTGTTTGATCTGGGTGTCCTATATGTGTGCCTCATATGTGTTTGATCTGGGTGTCCTATATGTGTGCCTCATATCTGTTTGATCTGGGTGTCCTATATGTGTGCCTCATATGTGTTTGATCTGGATGTCCTATATGTGTGCCTCATATGTGTTTGATCTGGGTGTCCTATATGTGTGCCTCATATCTGTTTGATCTGGGTGTCCTATATGTGTGCCTCATATGTGTCCAATCTAGGTGTCCTGTATGTGTGCCCCATATTTTTCCGATCTGTCCCATGTGTGTGTCCAGAAACCTGTGCAGTTATGCATACACTCAACAACATAACCTGTCTGGTGTCGCTTGTATTAATTAGAAGCTATGCATAGATGCATACTCTCAGCAACATAACTCACATATACTCAGCAACATAACCTGTCTCGTACACAGAACAACATAACCTGTCTCCTACACTCAACATAACTCACACACATACACTCAACAACATAACTCACACATGCACTCAACAACATAACTCACACACTCAACAAGATAACACACACATACACTCAACAACATAACTCATACATGCACTCAACAACATAATTCACACATACACTCAACAACATAACTCACACATACACTCAACAACATAACTCACACACTCAACAAGATAACACACACATACACTCAACAACATAACTCACACACTCAACAAGATAACACACACATACACTCAACAACATAACTCATACATGCACTCAACAACATAACTCAAACATGCACTCAACAACATAACTCAAACATACACTCAACAACATAACTCAAACATACACTCAACAACATAACTCAAACATACACTCAACAACATAACTCACACATACATTCAACAACATAACTCACACATACACTCAACACTATAACCTGTGTGGTGTCTGGTTTCAGGAGCATGTATGTTTTGTCATGGAATATGCATGCGGTGGAGACCTGATGATGCACATACACAACGATGTGTTCACGGAGCCACGGACCGTGTTTTACGCTGGCTGTGTGGTCCTCGGCCTACAGTACTTACATGAGAACAAGATCGTCTACAGGTCAGTTTGTCAGAAAACACCAGACTTCCTGTCATGTTGCAAAACACTATCTACTTTTTCAGCATTCCTGGCCCTTTAGGTTCATCGCTGCAGAAATCATCTGCCCTAATTCATCTCTGTGATTCGCCATTTCTTTGGTGACTCCAAGTGTCTAGATCATTGAGTGCCTTGTCGACTGCTGCAACTGTGTGTATGGGTTTGTGTGCTGACACCCCTCCATGCCATGCAAAAGACTGTCAAGAGTCTTCTCACCTGTCTTCCTCTGTCTCTCTTTCCACAGATCTTTCCAGTTGTCACATGATGTTCTATTTTCCCTCTTCTCATATCATGAGAAAAAAATGATGACTGTCTCTGATGTTTGTGATAAGTCATCTTCGAGCACTCGCCTCTTTCAGAACATCTGGGCTGCTTTTCTTAGCTGTCCAAGGAATTTGAAGCGTCTAGATATGACTGTATATTATCTCTCTTCCGACTTCTACGTCTGTCGTGTGGTTTACTTCCATTCAGCTATGGAGAACACAGTTCATTTCTCTGGCCTCACCTTGCCTTCTAGGTCTGTTGTATGGTTAACTTCCTTTCAGCTAAGGAGAACACAGTTCATTTCTCTGGCCTCACCTTGCCTTCTAGGTCTGTTGTATGGTTAACTTCCTTTCAGCTATGGAGAAACAGTTCATTTTTATCGCCTCACCTTGCCTTCTAGGTCTGTTGTATGGTTAACTTCCTTTCAGCTATGGAGAACACAGTTCATTTCTCTGGCCTCACCTTGCCTTCTAGGTCTGTTGTATGGTTAACTTCCTTTCAGCTATGGAGAACACAGTTCATTTCTCTGGCCTCACCTTGCCTTCTAGGTCTGTTGTATGGTTAACTTCCATTCAGCTATGGAGAACCACAGTTCATTTCTCTGGCCTCACCTTGCCTTTCTAGGTCTGTTGTATGGTTAACTTCCTTTCAGCTATGGAGAACACAGTTCATTTCTCTGGCCTCACCTTGCCTTCTAGGTCTGTTGTATGGTTAACTTCCATTCAGCTATGGAGAACACAGTTCATTTCTCTGGCCTCACCTTGCCTTCTAGGTCTGTTGTATGGTTAACTTCCTTTCAGCTAAGGAGAACACAGTTCATTTCTCTTGCCTCACCTTGCCTTCTAGGTCTGTTGTATGGTTAACTTCCTTTCAGCTAAGGAGAACACAGTTCATTTCTCTCGCCTCACCTTGCCTTCCAGGTCTGTTGTATGGTTAACTTCCTTTCAGCTAAGGAGAACACAGTTCATTTCTCTTGCCTCACCTTGCCTTCTAGGTCTGTTGTATGGTTAACTTCCTTTCAGCTAAGGAGAACACAGTTCATTTCTCTCGCCTCACCTTGCCTTCTAGGTCTGTTGTATGGTTAACTTCCTTTCAGCTAAGGAGAACACAGTTAATTTCTCTTGCCTTCCAGGTCTGTTGTATGGTTAACTGCCTTTCAGCTATGGAGAACACAGTTCATTTCTCTGGCCTCACCTTGCCTTCCAGGTCTGTTGTATGGTTAACTGCCTTTCAGCTAAGGAGAACACAGTTCATTTCTCTGGCCTCACCTTGCCTTTGAACATATAGTACAGTATTCTTGTGGAAATAATGGGCCTCTCTAGATATAAGAGATTGATATGTCATAATTATGTTATTTTGAATAGCTTTTCTAGTAATCGTTATTATCAGAGCATTACAGTGACCAAAGCAATAACATGGCTAGAGATACCTCAGTGAGTATGCTCAAGTAGATAGAGAAGGGTTGGGTCTGAAGACACTTGACAGTCTCGAAAGTGGTCAGGCTGATACATATCAGTTTCATTTTTGTACCAGAGCATGCAAGCTGCTAGGTTCGAGGACATTTTGTCTGCCGTAGCGGCACGTGACTAGTCTTGTAGGTCCGTGACCAGATTCTACACTCACTAAACCCTATCACCCAAAGAGCACACAACAATCTTAAATGGAAAGAAAAATACAACAGCACACAGTTGACCTCACGACTCGTGGATACCCCTATCACCCAAAGAGCACACAACAATCTTAAATGGAAAGAAAAATACAACAGCACACAGTTGACCTCAGGACTCGTGGATACCCCTATCCGAAATTAAAGAAGTGAGGGCTTTACAAATCACCTCTCACTCTTATCATGTTCTCCTGGATAGTACTAGGTCCAAATCCACGCCGTTTCTGTACAGCTCTTATGCTCACCACTGAACTCAACTCTGGGACTGCAGAATATCTGCTGAGTGCCGGGTGAAGTGGCCGAGAACAGATCAAATCACAGTACTCTGTGACATGTATTGGTCAGTAAGTACACACATAAAGAAGATTCACTACTATCTTTTCCCTTCATCACATAGCTGCACTAGACTCTGACACTAGGCCTGCAGGTAAAGCTGCTGTGGAAGGCAGATAAGCCATGGACTAGGTAGATATTCGAATGTCCTACGAGAAGTAAGACGTTTGCGAGAACCAGGTGATGACAGTGAGTCGGCAACTATAGCCAGACTGCAACAACAACATGTTAAAAGAGGTGTGGCCAGACAAGAGCATGATGCAGGAAGCCAAAGAAGTATAAGGGGAAAAAACAAAGAAATAGTGTCGTCAGCCGCTACACACTGCAGAAATTACAAAGGGGGAAATAAGAGCACTGGTGAACTCAATGTGCGGTGAGGATATTCTGTCAACTGACTAACTAACATCACCAGAGCATAGCCAGATTGTGGCCTACTGGTGATTTCCAGCTGCCTAGAGAAGAGAGAGTTAACTTGTTCAGCGTGCAGACAGCAGCTGTTGCTGTTTCTCTGTGTTCCTTGAAGTCTGTGTACAATCTACCAGTGGATGAGGCATTGTTGTCATTATTTCATGTTCTTATCCAGCAGATCAAGCAGTGGTTTCATTATTTCATGTTTTTATCCAGCAGATCAAGCAGTGGTTTTATTATTTCATGTTCTAATCCAGCAGATCAAGCAGTGGTTTCATTATTTCATGTTCCTATCTAGTGGATCAAGCAGTGGTGTCATTATTTCATGGTTTAATTCAGTGAATCAAGCAGTGGTGTAATTTTTTCATGTTCTAATCCAGTGGATCAAGCAGTGGTGTCATTATTTCATGTTCTAATCCAGCGAATCAAGCAGTGGTGTCATTATTTCATGTTCTAATCCAGTGGATCAAGCAGTGGTGTAATTTTTTCATGTTCTAATCCAGCGAATCAAGCAGTGGTGTCATTATTTCATGTTCTAATTTAGTGGATCAAGCAGTTGTGTCATTATTTCATGTTCTAATCCAGTAGACCAAGCAGTGGTTTCATTATTTCATGTTCTAATCCAGTGGATCAAACAGTGGTTTCATTATTTCATGTTCTAATCCAGTGGATCAAGCAGTGGTGTCATTATTTCATGTTCTAATCCAGTGGATCAAGCAGTGGTTTCATTATTTCATGTTCTAATCCAGTGGATCAAGTAGTGTTTTCATTATTTCATGTTCTAATCCAGTGGATCAAGCAGTGGTGTCATTATTTCATGTTATATCCAGTGGGTCAGGCAGCAGTGTCATTATTTCATGTTCTAATCTAGTGGATCGAGCAGTGGTGTTATTATTTCATGTTCCAATCCAGTGGATCGAACATTGGTGTCATTATTTCATGTTTTTATCCTGTTGATCGAGCAGTGGTATGATTATTTCATGTTCATATCCAGTGGATCAAGCAGAGGTGTCATTATTTCATGTTATAATCCAGTGGATCAAGCAGTGATGTCATTATTTCATGTTCTAATCCAGTGGATCAAGCGGTAGTGTCAATATTTCATGTTTTAATCCAGTGGATCAAGCGGTAGTGTCATTATTTCATGTTGTGATCTAATTTCATCTTTAACATAGCAAACAGAATGGGAGGTTGACAAGCTGGCAGTGTTGACTTGTTGAAATCTCTTGTAAGAATCTGATTCTGACATCTTTTTTAGGGATCTGAAGCTGAAAGGTTATTGTGTAATCTGAAGCTGAAAGGTTATTGTGTAATCTGAGGCTGAAATTGATTCCAAGAATTTAAATCTGCAATCTTTTTTAGAGTCTGAAATTTTTTCGGGGTTCAAAAACTGAAACAGGTTTCAGATATCCTAAATTGAAATCTGTTGCGTGTATCTATGACTGAAACTTATGTAAAGTATCTTAAATTGAATCTGTTGCATATATCTAAAATAAGGCTTGCTGCATAAATCTAAAATTGAATCTGTTGCTTATATCTAAGGGATTGTAGAAGTGTAGTTAGAATAAATCAGGAAACATCTCATCCATTCGCAGTGACATCTGGAGTAAGACAGGGGTGTGTCTTATCACCACTGCTGTTTATCACCTACATCGACAGTATGTGCAAGAATGCCAAGCCCATGAATGAAAATGTTAGTAAGATCAACGAACTATTCTTTGCAGATGACCAGGCCTTGATAGCAGATACAGCCATGAAATAGCAACAACATCTAACATCCATGAATGAAGAATGTAAGACAAATAATATGAGAATCAACACTGAAAAGACAGAAGTAATGTCAGTAGGAAAAAAGAAGACAGATCTAAACATAGCAATAGAGTGCAAAGGCATTAAACAGACATCTGAGTTTAAATATCTGGGAACTACATTTACCGAAGATGGAAAATTGGATAAAAAAATTAACATTAGATGCAGTAAAGCAAACCAAGTATTGGGACAGCTAGCCCCCCTCTTACAGCATAAGACAATCCCAATCAGCACAAAGAGACATTTTATTCAAAGCATATTTATTCCAACTCTGTGCTACCAGTGCCAGACATGGTCACTCAAACAAACCATAAAAAAAAAATTAGTAACCACGAAAATGAGATATCTGAGAAGGGCTGTAGGAGTGACCATAAGAGACAAGATCAGGAATGAGATCATAAGAGAAAAAGTCGGCACAGAACCAATTCAGGATTACATACGAAGACAGCAAGTGAAATGGTTTGCCCACTTAGAGAGAATGCCTTGTGACACCATACCATACAAAGCATACATGGAAAGAGAAGAAGGGCGTAGAGCACGAGGTAGACCAAGAACAAGATGGAAGGATAACATCAGAGAAACTCTACAACAGCACAATGTTCCTATAGTCGAGGCGGCAAGAAGAGCTAAAAACAGAACCTTATATCTCCCTCGACACCCACAGCGGTAAAAGAGGAAGTGAAGAAGAGAAGAAGAAGCTCATGTCTAAAATTGAACCTGTTGCTTGTAACTAAAATTTAACCTGTTGTTATATCTAAAATTGAACCTGTTGCTTATATCTAATATTTATTGCAGAGATCTCAAACTAGACAATCTTCTTCTGGACTCGGAAGGCTACCTTAAAATGGCCGACTTTGGTTTGTGTAAGGAAGGCATGGGCTACCAGGATCGAACCAGCACCTTCTGCGGCACACCTGAGTTCTTGGCACCAGAAGTCCTTACAGAAACATCCTACTCTAGAGCGGTGGACTGGTGGGGCCTGGGCGTGCTTATCTATGAGATGTTGGTTGGAGAGGTAAATACCTCCAGTCTGTAGGAGTACACACAATGGATATATTTTCATAAATAATTGTCCTACTTGATAAGACTTGTCCTACAGAGAGAAAAACCCACTGCTTCCTCCACACCACCCCCCCCCCCCCCCCCCCCCCACAACAAGCATGTTGTATTGTATTATCATCATGCAGCAGGTTTTTTGCAGAACTTCACTCTCATCATAGTCTGCCTGAAAGAAACTCGGTCTCTCACCAGCTCTCCTGCCTCATGTACTTTCACACTTAAGGAGTCAATAATATCCTGTGCCCATCTTCGTGCTGGTCGGCCCCTGCCCCTCCTTCTTAGTACCATGCCTTCTGCTGTTATTTTTTTAATCCATCGTGGCGCACGATATGACCAAAATATTTCAGCTTTCAAGACAGGATTCTGTTTATTAGCCAATCTTCCTTGAGGTTCAGATCTTTCATGATGTCAGTATTTCTCCTCTTCTTTGTCCAAGATATTCTAAGAATCTTTCTATAGCACTTCAGCTCAAAAGCTCCTATTCTCTATCTTAAGGACTGGATGTAGCTACAGGGAAAATGCATGCTCTCAAAATTCTATTGTATAAGGCGACTAAATATGGATGTGTCTTTCGAAGTTGGTGTTCATTTGCCTGAAAGGCGAGGAACCAACAGTCTGCATTAAAAAAAAACCTAGATCTGTAGAATGGATAAGTTGAGTTGGGTTTGAGTCAAGAATTGACATCACAGCACTCCGGGCATTCCCCCGCATGTCCCGTCCTCATCTTCAGCAGCCAGTGCAGAGATCCAATACTGATGGTACCGGTCACAATCTGGTTATATGTCCGTCTATCCTTTCCTCTGAGTGTAGTAAGCTGGCCAGACCCTCTGGTTACACCAAGGTGCCTCATTCTCTCCAGGCCATAATAATCTTCTTTCTCTACTGATTCCGTTGCTTGTTCCCAAAGGGCCTTGACCACATCTGCCTTGCCATGTATCAATTCACCATCCAGTGGTGCAGATCCAGCCAATCTTTCTGCCTGTTTTTTACCCACAATGCTGGCATAGCCTGGACAAAAGATCCAAAGTATGCTCACCACCCGTGACTTTTTCAGTGAAGCTTGCCACTCTGCTCGAAAACATCCCTGTCTTCACCTTTTTCAGCATGCTTTCAGAGTCTGTTTCAATTACGACATGTGTATGCATCTTGTTCACTAGCCACCGGAAAGCTGCAGTTGCTGCCTCCACCTTCATTCTCATGCTAGATGTTGTGGTGTCATATGATAGTCTTGCACTAAAGACTTTCCATTGGCTTTCGCTATGAACTCCCAGGCACTTCTCTTTCCTCTCACTGAACCATCTGTATAGATAATCAGATCACCTGCTCATGAATCGTCGTGAATTAACTGTTTGACTTCTACTTCTATAGCACCCGCTGGCCACTCTCTGCATACCCGGCCCAATGTGATCATAATCCTACACAAGTCAGACTTTTCCTCTGGTACTCTGACCCATTCCTCTCCTCGCCCAATGTTTTCCAGCATGCATACTTGTCGTATTGTGTCTTCTGCTTGAGCCATCCACGATTTTTCCTTTTTCAGCCTCTGACCCTTGCCTGCTGCCAAAGCTTCATACAGAGGGTGTTCCCTGTCTTTTTTTGCCTCTGCCGCACAGCGCTTGAAGAACTCTATCTTATCTTTCTTATCTCTTTCCGCTCACTCCAGAATGGATGTGCCCAGGAAGTTAACCTGGTCAGCAAATAATGCGCAGTGTAATCTGATGTGTCGGCAGAGAGGTACAAATATTGCAGCTTATGTCACTCGGATGAACATACGGGGAGTCAAAATGGATGTACATGCAAACTTCGAGTCCTGGAACAAGACCGAAGTCTTGAAGTAGAGAAACAACTGGAATGTGCTTTTGGAGTTTGCAGCAGAAGATCATAAAAACAGAGATGAGATGTCTTAGGAGAGCTGCCGGTGTGACAAAAAGAGATAAAATCAGAAACAGCTAGACTAGGACTGAAATCAGTCGTACAATTCATTAAAGAACAACAAATGAGATGGTTTGTCCACCTGACAGATGAGAATGCCTTGTACCAACTGCCACAGAGAGCCACACTGAATAAATATAATGAATACAGAGTAAGGGGAAGACCATGAAAGAGATGGAGCGACTTAACAGAAATGAACATCAACTTGCACAATGCATTGGGAGAAGTGCACAAACAATCTTTACACCTCCCTCCAATACCTCGCTGAGGTCAATGGTGAAGGAGAAGAAATAACCTGTGGTTGGGGAGAGATGGATAAGTTATGTGGCTGAAGCAAAAAGATGAACAAATCTATCACCCAAACCACGGAAGTTGAGTTGAGTCAAGAATTGACATCACAGCACTCGTGGCATTCCCATATGTGCTCCGTTCCTCATCTTCAGCAGCCGGCGCAAAGTTCCAATACTTATGGTACCAGTCGTAATCTGGTTATATGTCCATCTTGCCTATCCCCTGAGTTTAGTGAACCGGCCAGACCACCTGTTACAGTTGCCTCATTCTCTCCAGGCCATAATAATCTTGTTTCGCTTCTGACACCGTTTTTCTGGGCTACAACATGTTATCCGTGAGTTGGCAATAGAAGAACTTGGATAAAATATTAATTGGAAATGGATAAATGTTTGACTGTTTTGGATGTCGAAACCAGTAATGTCATTTGACATTTGTGTTGTTGCTAATGACTACATGTGTGTCTAAACCAGTAATGACATTTGTGTTATTGTTGATGCCTACATGTGTCCAAACCAGTAATGACATTTGTGTTATTGTTGATGCCTACATGTGTGTCCAAACCAGTATTGACATTTGTGTTATTGTTGATGCCTACATGTGTCCAAACCAGTAATGACATTTGTGTTATTGTTGATGCCTACATGTGTGTCCAAACCAGTAATGACATTTGTGTTATTGTTGATGCCTACATGTGTGTCCAAACCAGTAATGACATTTGTGTTTTTGTTGATGCCTACATGTGTGTCCATGCTAATTGTTAATGCCTACATGACATGATTCTGCAGAGTCCATTCCCTGGCGATGACGAGGAGGAAGTATTTGACAGTATTGTCAATGAGGAGGTCCGCTACCCAAGGTTTCTTTCGACTGAATCGATCGCCATCATGAGACGGGTACGTTTACTAGTTTTCTCTTATCTGTCATTGTTGTTATGCTATCTCGTCACTTCAGGTTGGGCATTCCCTCTTATCTGTCATTGTTGTTATGCTATCTCGTCACTTCAGGTTGGGCATTCCCTCTTATCTGTCATTGTTGTTATGCTATCTCGTCACTTCAGGTTGGGCATTCCCTCTTATCTGTCATTGTTGTTATGCTATCTCGTCACTTCAGGTTGGGCATTTCCTCTTAACTGTCATTGTTGTTATGCTATCTCGTCACTTCAGGTTGGGCATTCCCTCTTATCTGTCATTGTTGTTATGCTATCTCGTCACTTCAGGTTGGGCATTCCCTCTTATCTGTCATTGTTGTTATGCTATCTCGTCACTTCATTGGGCATTCCCTCTTATCGTCATTGTTGTTATGCTATCTCGTCACTCAGGTTGGGCATTCCCTCTTATCTGTCATTGTTGTTATGCTATCTCGTCACTTCAGGTTGGGCATTCCCTCTTATCTGTCATTGTTGTTATGCTATCTCGTCACTTCAGGTTGGGCATTCCCTCTTATCTGTCATTGTTGTTATGCTATCTCGTCACTTCAGGTTGGGCATTCCCTCTTATCTGTCATTGTTGTTATGTCTCTCGTCACTTCAGGTTGGGCATTTCCTCTTAACTGTCATTGTTGTTATGCTATCTCATCACTTCAGGTTGGGCATTCCCTCTTATCTGTCATTGTTGTTATGCTATCTCGTCACTTCAGGTTGGGCATTCCCTCTTATCTGTCATTGTTGTTATGCTGCTATCTCGTCACTTCAGGTGTTTCCCTCTTATCTGTCATTGTTGTTATGCTATCTCGTCACTTCAGGTTGGGCATTTCCTCTTATCTGTCATTGTTGTTATGCTATCTCGTCACTTCAGGTTGGGCATTCCCTCTTATCTGTCATTGTTGTTATGCTATTTCGTCACTTCAGGTTGGGCATTCCCTCGCATGTTTGTTGTTGTGTCTGTAAGTTTATTGATATTACAGGCTGCTTTCTGTTTAGATTCCCCCCCCCCCCCCCCCCCCCCCCCCCCACCCTTTTTCAGCTTCTTCCTCCCTCTCTTTACCCGACTTCCGGCCAAAATGGAGGAAAGGCTTGGCAGAACGTTAAGCTTCGAAGTTATTTTTCTTCTTCTGACAGCGCTTTGCTAATGCAGTTTCCACATAAGGACGGTTGTCTACTGTTTTGCTGCCTGAGCTACTGAGTTAAGCGCTTGGTTGCAGCACTGTGAGCTGTGTTTTCCCTATGTAATGCCTTTCATTTGTGCAGCTGCTGTGTCGTTTTGCTCAGTGTAGACAGTTTGCTTGTGAGCTGGTGAAATACCTTATGTAAGAATTTTACCTGTGTATAGTAACCAACATATCGTGCCCAACTACCTCCATCGACGACAACCAACTGCATTTCTAGTGGCGATTGTTGGCTTTGATGCCTCGAGCAACTAAAATACACATTTACTGCGTGTGCACATATTTCTGGATTGTTCTGGAACTAGGTTGTTTATTCACCAGTTTTTCAAATGTGACAGTGAGGGACATTTCATTTGATTTGCACTGGCACAGGAACGGAGCAAGAATGGGGAAACCCAATTGTGGTAATGTTGAAACCTCCACTGACTGACTGACTAACCTCTCTTTACCCATCCTTCCCTTCCTCCTCTCTGTTCGGTCTTTTCTTTGTGGAATTCTGGGATACTTCAGAAAAGTAAAATGCTTTTTCTTTCTTTTCATTCCCCCCCCCCCCCCTTTACACCCCCCCCCCCCCCCCCCCCCCCCCCACCTACTTGGTCCTTCACCGCAGGTTTCAAGAAAATATGAGATTTTGTCTTTCCTTATTTCTGTCTGCTTTTATTCCATCAAATATGATGTTTTGTAGCCAAAGTGTTCACATATGGTTGAACTGTTTACACAGTTGTTGTTTAACTGTGTCTTTGGTTGTTTAATCGTTAACACAGTTTAGTGGTTTTTTATGAGTATTTTTTAACTGTTCACCTGGTTGTTTATAACTATTCCACTGGTCATAGTTGAACTGTTTACAGTGCTCTTTATAAATGTTTCATTGGTTAGTGTTGAACTGTTTACAAGTTTGTTTATAACCGTTTCACTAGATATAGTTGAATGTTTAAATGATTATTGATAACTTCCACTGATCATAGATGACTCTTTACATGATTGTTTACAACTGTTCCACTGGTTAGGGTTGAACTGTTTCTGCCCGTTATGATCTCCACTTGATGTGCATGTAAATTTTCTACTCTGAAGCTCCTCAGAAGAAACCCAGACCGACGGCTGGGCTCCAGTGAACGAGACGCCGAAGATGTGAAGAAGCAGGCATTCTTCAGGGTAATGGCCATGTTTTGTTTGTTGGTTCAGCTCTGGTGTTTTGTCAGCTAATATCCTCTCTGTTTCCGTCTAGCTGATGAGAAGGAATCCGGACAAGCGTCTTGGTTCTAATGAGCAGGATGCTGAGGACGTCCGGCGGCAGACCTTCTTTCGGGTAAACCCTGAATGGTTTGACAACCAACTATCGGCTTGTGGCATAAAATCTGGGGTTTGTCCAGGATACTTTGAGTTTTCCAAATTGGGATGCATTCATAGTATCTTGTGATAAGATAATGGGAGGTGTCTAGGTTTCCTGAAGTGGGATGCATTCATAGTATCTTGTGATAAGATATTGGGATGTGTCTAGGTACATGTTTCCTAAATTGGGATACATTCATAGTATCTTGTGATAAGATTTTGGATGTTTCCTAGTATCATGTGACAAGATTTATGGATATGTTCTTGATGCAAGTTACCTAAAGTGGGATGCATTCAGACTTATCTTCTGACAAGAAATCTGAATATTCTTGAATATCTTTGATTTCCTCAAAGTAGAGTGCACATAGTATTCTGTGGGGAACCCCGAGGTTATGCCAAAAGGAAGCTTGCAGCATGAAACACTGCGTGTCTATAGAAGTGAATTGAATAACCTTAACCTTTTTGTACCGAGAACATAGAAGAACAAGAAGGGTATCAAGATCCCATCAGAATCCCATGAACATTTTTTTAAAAAATAACGCAAGTTTTTCTCAAATCACTAATAAATTAGTTAAAATTGTATTTATTTTCATTTATTTATTCATTTTTTTTCGAAATACATAAAGTTTATCAAGTGAGTAATAAATAAACGTGCACAGGGTAAAGTGTTTAATGGTATGCTCCCAGTGGGAAAACAAAAACATACCCACTGCCTTCCCAAAAGCAAGTCATTAGAGTCGACTAATTGGGAGCTTCCTCTGAAGTCGGAGTGCATCTGCCTGAGATGCAAGGAACCAACAGTCTACATACAGATAAGTCAGATCTGTAAAATGGATTCACATGTAGCACTCAAGTTCTGGAACAGGACTACAGACCAGAAGTGGACGAACAACCAGAACTTTCCGCCCCGCCAGAGTTTAGGGCTGGTGAGCAAGAAGAAGGAAGTAAAAAGAAGAAGAAATGGCATACATTCCCCAGGGCCTCAGAAAACATATATATCAGGTGCTCATGCTCTGACTTCTATCATTAAGGCTACGGGGAAAATTGTGTGTCAACTTGGCATTAAAAAGCTATTTGGCTCAAAAGAAAACATCCTTCTTCTTCTTTTTCAGCATTTTGAGCCCTTAGGTTCATTGCTGCAGATATCACCTGCCTCTATTCATCTCTCTGATTGGCTCTCTCTTTCCAGTTGGTGACACCAAGTGTTTGCAGGTCTGTCTGGATATTATCTCCCCATCGTCTTCTTGATCTGCTTCGTGGTCTACGACCATTCATATGCCTGGTGTATACAGTTTTTACTTCTCTGTCATCTGACATTCTTTCAATATGTTCCAACCATTTAAGTCTATTAGCTCTTATGATGCCAGTGATCAGCGGTGATTTAAACAGATTGTCAATTTTGTTGTTGCTTCTCACTCTCCATTCACCGCTGTTTGCATCTTTGATGGGTCCAAAGATTCATCGTAAGACTCTGTTTTTGAATAATAAGGCTGTAATAAGGCTTCATCTCTTTTGTGCTCCCAAAATGCTTTTTAAAATATTTTTTCAAATTTTTTTTTTAATTCAATGCAGTCAAATCCTGACCACCTAATGCTCTAGAGTAGGATGTTTCTGTGAGGACTTCTGGTGCCAAGAACTCAGGTGTGCCGCAGAAGGTGCTGGTTCGATCCTGGTTGCCCATACCTTCCTTACACAAACATTTGTGCAGGCATGAAAACAGCCAATAGCATTAACTATGTGTCTCATAAACAGATCACTGTAGACAAGAAATGTGACATTTATGGCGTTGCAGTTTCTTGGGGCAAAAAGATTAAGTTTAGAGTCATGTTTCCGGTAATCACATATTGTGAGGGGGATCCTGTGTGTCTGATGACGAGCCTGGTTGCCCGACAGGTAGAGTTCATGTATACGGAGTCTGGTGGACTTTATTGCTGTTGTTGATTGGAAGGTGAATTTAGAATGTTGAGTGCTACCTGGTCTGTGGGTGTGATCAGGCGAGAGCTTTAAAAAATGTGACCAGTGGTAACTGGAGGTTGATAAATAACATTCTTTAGACCTAGCCATGCAGTAATGATATTTGTCTGAAATTTTAGGAATGTAGCCGTCGGAAAGATTAACATTTTTTAACATTTTTTAACATTTTTGGAACTTAGCCATGCAAGAATAATACAATTTTTTAGACTTAGCCCTGCAAGAATAACCTTTTTAGGACTTAGCCATGCAAGAATAACAATTTTGGGATGTAGCCAGGCAAGATAAACATTTTTAAACTTAGCCATGCAAGAATAACATTTTTTTGGGACATAGCCATGCAAGAAAAACATTTTTTAGACTTAGCCATGTAGTAATAATATTTTCTGGAATTTTAGGAATGTAGCCATGGAATGATTAACATTTTTGGGATGTAGCGGTGCAAGAATAGCATTTTGAGAACTTAGCCATGCAAGAATAACATTTTTTTGACTTAGCTATGCAGGAATAACATTTTGGGAACTTAGCCATGCAAGAAAAACATTTTGGGAACTTCGCCATGCAAGAAACACATTTGTTTGACTTAACCATGCAAGAATAACATTTTGAGAACTTAGCCATGCAAGAATAACATTTTTTGGACTTAGCTATGCAGGAATAACATTTTGGGAACTTAGCCATGCAAGAAAAACATTTTGGGAACTTCGCCATGCAAGAATAACATTTTTTTTACTTAACCATGCAAGAATAACATGTTGGGAACTTAGCCATGCAAGAATAACATTTTTTTGACTTAGCCATGCAAGACTAACATTTTGGGAACTTAGCCATGCAAGAATAACATTTTGGGAACTTCACCATGCAAGAATAACATTTTTTTGACTTAGCCATGCAGGAATAAAATTTTTGGAACTTAACTATGCAAGAAGGACATTTTTGGAACTTCACCATGCAAGAATAACATTTTGGAAACTTAGCCATGCAGGAATAACAACATTTTTTAGACGTAAGCCATGCAAGAATAACATTTTTGAAACTTCGCCATGCAAGAATAACAACATATTGGAGACGTAGCTATGCAAGAATAACAACATTTTTGGAACTTAGCTATGCAAGAATAACAACATTTTTTAAGACGTAGCCATGCAAGAATGACATTTTTGGGACGTAGCAAGGCAAGAATAACATTTGTTTGGAATGTAGCCAGAGTCCCAAAGTCCCTTTCTGATTTACATGGGTCATAAGCTTGTTTGTGTGGGTAACTAGATCATTTGTGACTAAACTGAGCATCTGTGTATGTGTGTGTATGACTAAACTCAGCACATATATATGTAAATGTCTTAGTTTAGCTGACCTCAACACGTGTGTTTATGTGTAGCAAAGGTGTTTGTATGTGGTACCTAATCATGCTTGACTTAACCCAGCACATGTGCGTACAAACCTATGTTCCCAAGTTTAACCCAGAACAGCACATGTGTAGAAATATTTGTGTATAGATCAATGATACTAAAATTGTGTGCCGCGGCGCCCCGGGGAACGTGACCTCTTCACAGAGGCGCCGCAAAAATATTGTTAAAGCTTCATAATAAATTTAACCAAGACACTTCTACTTAGGTTAGGGGGTACTTGATTTATAACTTACCCCTGACGTCACGACAACGTCACGGGAGACAATCCCAATAAATTCTAGGGTGTTCAGGTTGTAGTTTCTCTCGATTTATCTACAGCCAAGTTTAGGGTTAGGGTTAGGTTTAGAAGACACTAGATGAACACTCCAAAACAGCAACACACAACAGCACTGTTGCACCCCTTGAAATAATGGACTGTCAGGTCAGCTGTGGATTTCCCAAGGGAATTTCGTGTTTGGGGTACGTTATAAATTAAGAACCGGTTAGGGTGCCGTGGAAAAAAATAAAAATAAAGGCGCTGGACCAAGACAAGTTTGGGAAACAATTGGTATCGATTTTTAGTTTGGCTGAACTCAGCAAGCATGTCTCCCTCTCCCTCTTGCTGAGACAAGGCCGAGGTCAAATCACATGCCTTCATTGTTCCTTAGTCTCAGCTCTCCTGTACAGTGTAGTTCTTTCTTGAACATTCTCTTTCTTCAGCCCGGAATACCTTGTCCAGAATTTCACTTGCAGACCTCCATGTCCTCTACCATGGCTGTGTTAGCTCATCACTTTATTATGTATTTGTCAACAGTTGCCCACTTTCTCCAATGTTGTTCAGTTTGTTCATGTATTGGTCAATTGTTGTCTACTTTCTCCAATGTTGTTCAGTTTGTTCATGTATTTGTCAATAGTTGCCTGCTTGTTGTTCAGTTTGTTCATGTATTTGTCAATTGTTGCCTGCTTTCAACAATGCTGTTCACATTGTCTTCATGTATTTGTCAATAGTTGCCCACCTTCTCCAGTGTTGTTCACATTATCTTCATGTATGTGTCAGCATACTTTCTCCAGTGTTCTTCACAGTATGCTCATGTATTTGTCAACAGTTGCCCACCTTCTCCAGTGTTGTTCACATTATCTTCATGTATGTGTCAGCATACTTTCTCCAGTGTTCTTCACAGTATGCTCATGTATTTGTCAACAGTTGCCCACCTTCTCTAGTGTTGTCACATAATCCCCCTTCATGTATGTGTCAGGCATACTTTCTCCAGTGTTCTTCACAGTAAGGACAAAACCATGTATTTGTCAACAGTTAGCCCAAAAGCCTTCTCCAAGGGTTCTTAGGACAGTATGAGGCTCATGTATTTAGTCAACAGTTGCCGCAACCTTCTCCCTTTCAGTGTTGTTCACATTATCTTCATGTAGTGTTGATGTATACTTTTCTCCAGTGTTCTAGATGTCGCACATTATCTTCATGTAACATGTCAGCATACTTTTGGCCTCCAGTGTTGTTGCAGCAGAATGTGTGTCATTGTAGAGTAACACAGCACGTCTTGTCAGCACATCTCAGACACTTGCCAGCTGATTTCCTTCCATGTTTGGTTTGTCTATATGCCCCCTTGTGTGGGCTCTGGGGGCCTCAGTTTGAGGCTGTTGGTTGGGCAGGGAAAAGGGGGGGGGGGAGGGGAGGAGAAGAACAAACCAGCTGCACCTCAACAAGCATATAGAAAAAAGCCACTGATGAAGGATTTGCTGAAATTGGATATGTGTGAGGCTAAAAGGTGGGGATATCATAGCCTAGCAGTAAACCGCAGCATACTGTGCCAATCAGCCTTTCAAGGATGAAAGTGGAAGAAGAAATAAGATGTGTAGTGTTGATGCTTATCGGTTCAGCGGCATGGGATGTTACTAGATGTCGCGCATGTTTCCTATCCCTGGAACATGTGTTTTTGTGTGTGGCCGCTGCCACTTTAAAATGCAGCATGTTTGTAGAAGTGTGTCCCTGATTGAGTAGAGTAACACAGCACTAGTGTTTTTAGTGATACTAAGTCAGAGTAATTCAGCTAAGTTTACTTGGGCAAAGAATGATCATAAACTCAGTACCACTAGCAGTGATCCACGGGCCACTTGCTAGGCCTCCACGGGCCAGATTTAGCCCACCGGCCGCCAGTTGAATAGCCCTGTCCTTAGTGATGTAACACTGCACTGCACACGTGGCATGTATCTGTACATTTGTCCACTATTGTATGTTAAGTGATTAACTTGCAGATTATTCCCAGTGTTACAAGTTTGTCAATGTGAGAGTGAATTCACTCTGTCCTTATGTGGGTTCAACCGGGCCCTATTATGGGGGGGAGGAGGGGGGGGGGTGGACAATAGACCCCCTCCAGTTTACGTACAGCATGTCGTAAAAATTAATAAGGGGTGTTTGCTTTGAACTGGGAGTGTATGTGCCTGAGAGGTGAGGAACTTAAGTTTGCATACAGATTTGCCAGATCTGCAAAACCGCTGTGTACATGGCACTCTAATTGTGGAACAAGACTAAAGTGCAGAAGTATATGACCAACCAGAACTTTCCACCAGAGTTTACAGTCTGCAAACACAAAGAAGGAAGAGAATCCAATCTGTTGAAGCTTATATATGCCTGTGCCATCTTAAAGATTGATTATATGCTAGATTTCATTGTGTTAGGATGTCCACTTGTATGACTGATCGCCTGGTTCCTCTATGACTTGAAGCCAGATCAGGTGTCTAGTTCTGGTGTGTCAAAGTGGTTCCTCTATGACTTGAAGCCAAATCAGGTGTCTAGTTCTCGTGTGTGTGTGGTTCCTCTATGACTTGAAGCCAGGTCAGATGTCTAGTTCTGGTGTGTCAGAATGGTTCCTCTATGACTTGAAGCCAGATCAGGTGTCTAGTTCTGGTGTGTCAGAGTGGTTCCTCTATGACTTGAAGCCAGATCAGGTGTCTAGTTCTGGTGTGTCAGAGTGGTTCCTCTATAACTTGAAGCCAGGTCAGATGTCTAGTTCTGGTGTGTCAGTGGTTCCTTTATGACTTGAAGCCAGATCAGATGTCTAGTTCTGATGTGAAGGAGTGTTTCCTCACTCCTTTTTTACAAACTTCCACACTGCAGAAGCCACACTTTGTTGTGTTTGAAACACACAACTGTTCTGGGTTGTACATACTGCTAGCTGACCACAGACAAGGTCTGTAACAACTGTTGGACATTTTAGCAATAGAAAATTCACCAGAAAACCAAATACAGTGGTTATTTCAGCTCAACACAGAGAGCATTATTATACAGATACAGCGTTAACAGCGCCAGAGGTCAACCATACAGAACGTGGACCACAGAAATATCAGAGATGCTGATAAGTACTATATATAAAGCGAACAGAGGACCCATTCCAAAGATCTCTTCCGACCGTGATGCTGTGAGGTATTCCAGGAGTAGAGAAAAGAAAAAGATATCAATGAAACAGTTATCACCAAAACATGTTACAGTGGAAGCGACAGAGATCTGGTTTAACAGACAAATGATGAAAACATTCTGGACAAATAAAAAAAACAGTAATGAAGTTGTTTTGAAAGAAAGTAACTCAACAAAAACACATGTTTACCCACATCAGAAGGAGACAGTCTACATTTTTGGCGACATAATCAGAAGGGGCAAACTGGAGTACATAGTCTCAGTGGGAAAGTTAGAGGGGGGAAGGGGCAGAGGGAGACCAAAAGAGAGGATACTGGACAGTTTGACGTCATGGTATAGATCATCTGTGCAAGGTATTAATGAGAATGAAACGAGAAAGGCTGTTGATACACATGACTGCCAGCGCCACCACAGAGGCCGGTAAGTTCAAATATATATATGGGGGGGGGGGAGGTGTCATTGATAACAACAGATAAATGTTTTTTGGTAGAGATGAAAATCAGACTAGGACAGGCACATGTTGCATGTCACCAAGATGAAAAGTCACTTCTTTAATGCCATCTCCTCCTCTCTTGCAGAATGTCAACTGGAGTGATTTGTTACTGAAGAAAGTCAAGCCTCCATTTACACCCACATTGGTAAGTATATTTTATAGCTTTGTGCGCACAGACACACGGGCACACAGACACACGCACACACACACACACAGACACATGCGCACACACAGACACAGACACATGCGCACACACACAGACACACGCGCACACACACAGCTTATTTTTTCTTACACAACAATTAAATGTTAGACCTGTACTGTCAGCTAAAGTTGATGTTTGATTTCTCTGTTTAAAACAGAATTAAATGTTAGACCTGTACTGTCAGCTAAAGTTGATGTTTGATTTCTCTGTTTAAAACAGAATTAAATGTTAGACCTGTACTGTCAGCTAAAGTTGATGTTTGATTTCTCTGTTTAACACAGGAATTAAATGTTAGACCTGTACTGTCAGCTAAAGTTGATGTTTGATTTCTCTGTTTAAAACAGAATTAAATGTTAGACCTGTACTGTCAGCTAAAGTTGATGTTTGATTTCTCTGTTTAAAACAGAATTAAATGTTAGACCTGTACTGTCAGCTAAAGTTGATGTTTGATTTCTCTGTTTAAAACAGAATTAAATGTTGGACCTGTACTGTCAGCTAAAGTTGATGTTTGATTTCTCTGTTTAAAACAGAATTAAATGTTGGACCTGTACTGTCAGCTAAAGTTGATGTTTGATTTCTCTGTTTAAAACAGAATTAAATGTTGGACCTGTATTGTCGGCTAAAGTTGATATTTTATTTCTCTGTTTAAAACAAAATCAAATGACATACATGAACTTCTGGTCAGAATAGACTATAGACACGGTCACTGTTTTTAGTTGTGGCAAATTGTATGCTTTTCACAGAGGGTGGCCGTTGCCTTTTCCTCCATTTGTAGACTGGAAGGATATAGTTTTGTCACCCAGCTACTGAGTTGAGTGCATAATGTGGCACTGTGAGTTGCCAGTTTCATTAGAAATGTTTTTCGACTGTGACGCACATGGTGTTGTGAACTGTAGATTCAAAAAAATGGCCTGTTGCCACAGAATTATTGGTGCTTATATGATTCAGATTGATCTCTTTGTAAATGCGGCTTCCGTCAATGATGAACTGCATTTCTAATGTTGGACTGTGTGTGTTAGCACTTCTGATGGCTGCCTTATGCTTTTATTGCATGCGTATGCTAATGGATGTGCTAAGACTACAGTCTGAGTCAAATATTTCACAAGAGGCAGTGTGTGTTTTTTGTCGGCGCTGGAGAGTTAAGGTTTTATTCCTTTATGTAACAAAGAAATAGACAGTACAATACTTGCAACTAAATTTGATCTTTGATTGATCCACAGAAAAACATGGAAGATGTCAGCAATTTTGACGAAGAGTTCACTTCAGAACGAGCCATTTTGACACCACCCAAAGATCGCCGACCTTTGAACACAGACGACCAGAAACTTTTTAGAGATTTTGATTATGTAGCCGAGTGGTGCTGACAGAATAGTCTGTTTTTAACAAAAACTGTATAGAAAGATGACATCACTTTATTCACCTTGTTCTGTCCCGTTCACAGGCACAGGTTGTGGCACGTCACGGGCAGGGCTGGCTCCCAGTTGTGGCTCGTCATAGAGATGACCTTTCCTGGCCTTTTCTGTTTCATTTCATGAGTTCTTGATGCAATGGTCACACTTGTTCCTTCAGCGTCACTGTTGGTTTGGGTGATTTTTGTTTTGTTTTCAGTTGTTGACAATCTCATTATAGAATAAACACATGACGGACATGGATGTGAGCTTGTAGTGAATATTGATGTAGTTTATAAGGAAGAATGAAAAGGGCAGATAGAATCGTGAATAGTGCTGTCCTTTAAATCAGCTGGAGCTGTAAAGTGTTTAGAGAAATTACATGCAGATGGTCCAGATTTGTTGCGATTTATTATGAAAAAGAACAATCCTGAAAACTTGGTGACAGTTGACAAACTTTAGGAGAGAGAGAAGCAAGGGAGAAACAAACATTCTCATCTGATTGGATACATACCTGGATACAGGGATGGCCTGGATGGAATAGATGCTTAGCTGGACAGCGTGGATACAGGGATGACTCTGATACCTGGATGGCATAGACACCTGGATACCATGGATACGGGATGACATGGATGGCATGGATACACACCTGGATGGCATGGGTACAGGGATTACATGGATACATACCTGGATACAGCATGGATACAAACCTGGATACCATGGATCACACCTGGATGGCATGGATGCTCACCTGGATGGCATGGATGCACACCTGGATGACATGGATGCACACCCGGATGGCTTGGTCATGTGGCATAATTATGACAAAAGTACAGACCTGGTCAGTGGCCGGTGAGCGTCTGAGAAGGGTGTCACTGATTGCCTGTGGAGCGGCACCTGATAATGATATGGTATTTCTGGATACCAACTGGTTTTGTTTATCTGGATTTGCAGCGTTGATGCTCCACCAGTGGAACTTTGTCAGCATGGATGCATCACCACTTATGATTATGGATGCACACCCTGACAGCGCTTGGTCATATGACTAATTGACTGACAAAAGTACCTTGACAGTCATCTGACTCGGTGAGGGTCTGAGACAGTCATCTCACTGATTGACCGCGGAGCGGCACTCTAATGATAGCGACAGTCATGGATATTTTTATTGCAATGACAGTCATCTGACTCTTTGACAATGACAGTCATCTGACTCCTTTCTTCAACAGTCTGACTTTTCAGCAATGACAGTCATCTGACTCCTTGACAGATACAATCATCTGACCCTTTGACAATGACAATATCTGACTCCCTGACAGCGACAGTCATCTGACTCCTTGACAGTCATCTGACTCCTTGACAGTCATCTGACTCCTTGACAGCGACAGTCATCTCACTCGTTGACAGCGACAGTCATCTGACCCTTTGACAATGACAGTCATCTGACTCTTTGACAATGACAGTCATCTGACTCCTTGACAGCAACAGTTATCTGACCCTTTGACAATGACAGTCATCTGACCCCTTGACAGCGACAATCATCTGACCCTTTGACAATGACAATCATCTGACCCTTTGACAGCGACAGTCATCTGACTCTTTGACAGTGACAGTCATTATGAGGGCAATGGGTTAAACAGGCTGGGGATAGTAGGGGGGCTGGGGAAATTGCTTGGTGAAGTTAACAGACTCAAGTGATACCTTCTTGAAATGGAATTGATATTTGAAGCTGAAATTTGCATTTTTGACTGTCTGAAATTAGAATGAGATTGTGAATGAAATTGTCAGTTTTGTGACTGAATGAAATTGAAACGATACATTTTGTGAAAGCGTGAAACTGAAATAACTTGTTTGTGACTGATTGAAAGGTGGCAAGTTGTCTGAAAGAGCCTAAATGCTTGTTTCTTCAAAATAGAAGCCTGAAAAAATGATCTTCTGAAAGTGTGAAGCTGAAAAGGTTGTCTTATAAAATTGTGAAGCTGTTGAATGGAAGCTGAAGTGATAGATTGGTGACAGTTATAAAGTATAGATGTGATAGACATTGTGAAAGTAGTGGAATCTATTGTCTGACTTGCCAAAATAATCATCATCATTCAGCCATGTTAGACCCCACAAACATGTCGTTTCTTGCCCTTTGAATTACCTGGCCGTAAACACAGTAGAAACTTTTTTTTTCTTTCTTTTTTTCTCATGAACTTTCCAGCAATATGTACAGGAGTTGTCTCATGTTTTCTCCATGCAGTCGCTGAGCAACATTTGAGTTCCTCTACCTCATGATCTGGCAGTGCAGGATACATAGGTTTTTTTAAAATAAACTTTCTAGCGGTATGTGCTGGAGTCGCCTCATGTCTTCTCCATGCATTTGCTTGCCAAAAGTTGAATCCCCACTTCATGATCTAGCAGTACAATGTTTTTTCTCCTAACTGCCCGATAATTCTTAGAACAGTCACCAGTTGTAATTCTTTCAGCAGTCACCAGTTGTAATTCTTTCAGCAGTCAGCATGATTCTTAAGCAGTCACCAGTTGTGATTCTGACAGCAGTTACCAGTTGTAATTCTTTCAACAGTCACCAGTTGTAATTCTTTCAACAGTCACCAGTTGTAATTCTTTCAGCAGTCAACATGATTCTTACAGCAGTCACCAGTTGTGATTTTGACAGCAGTCACCAGTTGTAATTCTTTCAACAGTCACCAGTTGTAATTCTTTCAGCAATCATTAGTTGTAATTCTTTCAGCAGTCAACATGATTCTTACAGCAGTCACCAGTTGTGATTCTGACAGCAGTCACCAGTTGTAATTCTGACAGCAGTCACCAGTTGTGATTCTGACAGCAGTCACCAGTTGTGATTCTGACAGCAGTCACCAGTTGTAATTCTGACAGCAGTCACCAGTTGTAATTCTGACAGCAGTCACCAGTTGTAATTCTGACAGCAGTCACTCCCTCACAGCACTACTCATGTCAGAGCCTGTCACTGAGGACGTTTGTTGATTGACAACTTCCACACACACACACACACACACACACACACACACACACATGCATGTACGCACAGACACGCGCACGCACGCACGCGCACGCCTAGTTTCAAGGGGCTTCATTTTATATTTGATGTGGGGAAGGTATCTTTCCGTTAGGCATCCTTGACCTGAGCACCATGTAAGTTCCATCTCTGTTCCACATTGAAGTATGCAGTGACAGTTTGCAGACTGTTTTTTCTCATCTGTATACAGTTAGGAAATCTGGACTGTGAATGTATAGCTTCAGGAAGTCAATGGCAGACACTGGACATGTGTGTTGTATCTTTTAAACTGAGTTTTAGAAATAACGATGACTGAGTCAGTCAGCTTGTCAGTGTCACTCAACAGGGTATTGTGTTTGATGTAGTTCATTTGTCTGGTCTGAGTGCTCAACTAATGTTCAGATTTCATGTTTATTTTGAAAGTCCCCAGTTTGTGTCTGGTTTCTTTTCTTGTTGATTGATTGAGTTTTAGAGAACTGAATGTAGGCTAGGGCTGTCTGCCCAACCAAATTCTTTTTTTTTTTTTTTTTTTAAAT